TTGTGCTTGCACAAGAACAGCACCAATGCCAACTCCACTTGCATCACACTCAACTTCAAATACTTTATCAAAATCAGGAAGGGCAAGAATAGGGGACTCACAAAGTTTTTGCTTGATTACCTCAAAAGCATTTTGAGCAGCCTTTGTCCATTCAAAAACTCCCTTCTTCATGCATTCAGTTATAGGAGCCATGATGGTACTAAAATTTTTAACAAACCGTCGATAGAAAGAACCAAGTCCATGAAAACTTCTTACATCAGAAATGGACTTCGGAACCGGCCAAGTCTTCATAGCTTCCACCTTGGATTGATCGACGGAAATTCCATCTTTGGAAACTACATAACCAAGAAACACAATGCTTAGAGAGAAGAACTCACATTTCTCCATTTTGGCATAGAGTTTCTGTTCTCTCAAGACATTAAAGACCTGTTTTAAATGAGAGATATGCTCCTCCTCGTTCTTGCTATAAACAAGAATATCGTCGAAATAAACAACGACAAATCGACCAATAAAGGAACGAAGAATTTCGTTCATAAGTCTCATGAAGGTACTTGGAGCATTCGATAATCCGAATGGCATTACCAACCACTCATAAAGGCCTCCCTTGGTTTTGAAAGCCGTCTTCCATTCATCACTTTCTCGCATTCTGATTTGGTGATAACCACTCCGCAAATCTATTTTTGAGAAGACAGTAGAACCATACAATTCATCAAGCATATCATCAAGTCTAGGTATAGGGTACCTATACTTAATGGTGATGTTGTTGATGGCTCGGCTATCAACGCACATTCTGAATGAACCATCTTTCTTGGGCACGAGTAGAGCCGGAACAGAACATGGACTCATGCTTTCTCGAACATATCCTTTGTCGATAAGTTCATCGACTTGTCTTTGCAACTCCTTTGTTTCCTCCGGATTGCATCGATAAGCTGGTTTGTTCGGTAGAGGAGCGCCGGGGATCAAATCAATTTGATGCTCAATACCTCTTATGGGAGGTAATCCAGGTGGTAAATCCTCCGGGAACACATCTGCAAAATCTTTCAACAAGCGATGCATCTTTGGATGAATGGGTCGCTCTATCTCACTCTTTTTCTCTACCATAAGCAAAGCAAATACATTCTTTTGTTTGCTAATGGCTCTCTCAACCCGTGTTTCATTTAAGAACAAACTTTCCTTACCAGTGTTTCCCTCCCCAGGTTGATTTCGATGTATCAATGAAGGATTCAAGGGTAAAAGGGTGATGCATTTTTGTTCCTTCCGAAAAGAGTATGTGTTCTTACGACCATCATGCACAGCATTCATATCATATTGCCAAGGTCTTCCCAATAACAAGTGACATGCATCCATGGGAATCAAATCACACAGAACTTGATCTCGATAGTTCTTCCCAATAGAAAACAATATAAGAGCTCGTTTGGTTACCTTGAGATCATTTCCTTGATTGAGCCATTGGAGCTTGTACGGTTGAGGATGTTTCGTTGTTGGAAGCTTCAGCTTGTCGACAAGGGTTGTCGAAGCAACGTTGGTGCAACTCCCACCATCGATAATCACCGAACATACCTTCCCATTAATAGTGCAACGGGTGTGAAAGATGTTCTCCCTTTGGTCATTATCAAGAGAAACTTCAGCATGCAATGCTCTTCGTATGATCAACATTTCGCCATCATCTGCTTTCTCCACAACTTCTTCTTCCTTTTCAGATTCGGAACCATTTTGATCCGGATTGCTTTCAGCCTCTTGAAGTGCCGAATTGATCTCCTCAATTTCTTGAAGAGTCATAACTCGCCGATTTGGACAATTTGCTTGAAAATGCCCAAAACCATGGCACTTAAAGCATTTCCTCGCATCGCCTTCAGGTTTCTTCTGGAATTCTTTGGAAGGTTCTGTACTCTTCTCCTTTCCTTTGTCTTTGATCGATGTGTTCTCGACCTTGCTTGAGGAAGCACCATTAAAATAGGATGTCGTCTTGGTTGAGGTTCTGGAGGAAAACCTCTTGCCTTTCAGTTGCTTCTCAACTTTTATGGCTAGCTTACAAACGTCTTCAAAGGACCAATACGGTTGAAGTTCAACCATATCAGCAATTTCTCTATTCATGCCGCTAAGGAAACAAGCGACGGTTTGCTCCGGAACTTCTGGAACGTCGCATCTCATTTTGAGTTGTTCAAACTCACGGATGTATTCTTCAATACTCATCCTTTGTTGTCTTAGGGAATTCAGTTTTAGGAAAAGATCTTGCCTATAGTTGTCGGGCAAGAACCTCTTCTTCATCAACTTCTTGAGTTTTTCCCAAGACTTGATTCGGCCTTTTCCTTCTCTTGCTCGCTGATGCTTTAGATTTTCCCACCATAGAGAAGCATACTTTGTCAACTTTAGGACAACAACCTTGCACCTCTTCTCGTCCGAGTAGGACTTGAAGTCAAAAATCCGTTCGATTGTATGTAGCCAATCCACAAAGTCATCGGGATTGAGACTACCTTCAAATTCAGGGACCTCCACTTTGATGTCTCGATCATTCTCCTTATGCCTCCCTCTTCGTCTTCGGATATGAGAATCGGAATCACTAGAGTTGCCCCCAGTGGAATTGGAATCGCCACTAGAACTTTGACGAGATTCTGAATCATCACGCTGACGTCGATCATTCGGACGCCTCTCCGGTTGGCCTTGTCTCGCCGGATCCTCTAGAAGATTGAGGACTCGCTCTATTTGTTGCTGAAGGTTTTGGATAGGACGATCCCGCCTTTCATTGTGTGCTTGTTCCAAAGTCAAGCCTCTTGGAACCCGATCATCCATGTTGAATAAGGATTGGAAAACAGAAAGGAATCACTCAAACAAGTTCAACCTTGAGCTCTGATACCAATTTGATGCGTGGGTGGGCGAGTGATTCCGGAACGGGTATTTTCTTTTTGGAATTTTCTAGATAAGTGTATGGAATGGAGTGTATGAGGATGGAACTGAAGGGAAAAATGCAGAAATAAAATAATATAGAACGATCTCCTTCCAAGGTATAAAGGCCACGCCACCAACCAAGGATGAGGATCGGGATCTACGAAGTTCACCACCAAGGCCTAAAGATTTCACCAGCCAAGGATAAAGGACTTCGGGATAGGAGAAGCTCACCACCAAGGCCTAAAGATACCACCAACCAAGGATAAAGGGCTTCTTGGCTCACTACCAAGGAGTAATCCACGCTCCAAGGATAAAGAGACCGAAAGGAGTTATCCACTCTCCGAAGATATTCACTCAAGCAGAGGAAATCTCACAAATTTTCATTCATCCAAATCATCCTTTTACAATGAAAATTCGTCCTCTATTTATAGGAGAAACGAAACCTAGGAATCAATCGAAATATTAAAAAAAAACCTCGAGACTAAGAAATATAATAAAGCACTTAGGTTCTACAAACTTTGACTCTTTGAAACTTGTAAAATAGTAAAGACACCTAGGACTTAGAAATGCAATTAATAGCATGGGAACTTGCATTCTTGAGTCTTTATCTTTGCATAATTCGTGCTCCCCCTTTGACCAGAAGATAATTTTGTTGAAAACTCTTCAAATGCTCTTTTGAAATAGTCCATAATAGCCTCCCATCGATATGTCATCGATATACTTCAAGTTATCGACATTCTTCATCGTATCGATATGTTATCGATAGTATCGACAAGTTATTGACATTCTTCATCGTATCGATAGTATCGACAAGTTATCGACATTTTTCAATGCGTCGATATGTTATCGATAGGTTTTTGTTTCATTCAGAATTGTTGGAAATGACCCATCGAAGCACATGATGCCCAAATTCTTTATTGGCTTGAATAAGCATCGATGGTTTCGATTTGTTCGATGGAGCTAAGTCGGATGCTCCCGCATCAGATTCTCAAAGCTTCCTTTTCTGTCTAATTTGGTTTGCTTGATCGGACCAAATAGCTAGGCCAAAGTTCGAGTTAGAGAGAGAGACCAACCAATCCGAGCCTTACAAGCGATGTCAGCACACGCGCCATGACAAGTGCGAGCCTTCCGATCCGAAATCCGAACTACAAAGTAGAGGTGAGGAGTTCCTCGGTAGATCCAAGTTTCACTCGAAACATGGAGCCAACCCTATCGATTTTAAGGTCTATTCAGGAATCAGCCAATTCTTCTTCCTTTTTGTTTCAATTTCTTATTCCTTCTTTTTCTTGCTTTATTTTTAGTCAACCAAAATGAAAATCAAAGCAACAACAAAAATTCCCCTTCAGATAGATAGAGTTTCATCAACAAGACTGCCTATCCCAAATAGAACCATTTATATGTGAAGTAATTTGTCAAACCTAACAAGAGAAATCATATTATGTTGTCATGTAGAGTAAATGAAAGGGGTTGATTCAAGATTAAACTAGAAACACGAATAAAAGAGTAGTGATTAGTTAATTGAGGTTTTCAAAGTGCATAGTATACTAGATTTCTCCTGCAATGAATATACATATATGTTGCACCTGGATTTTAAAGGGTACATATCCATCCGTACCAAAATAAGTTTGAAACTATACCTACCATTGGAAGAACATTAAATAACATTAGTAATAGAATGGTGTTCCAAATTCTAAAAGTTTGACAATAGTAATAACAAAATCGGTGAAAAAATCCATGGATAGTTTTAGAGTTACCTTGGTTCAGTACAGGTTCTCCGATTCCCAATCCAATTCAATTCAATTTGATTCCTATCCAGGAATCGAAAATCGATAAACCAGATCGAGGAGTCCTGCAACCAAAAACTGAACTAATTTTTAAGATCGATCTGGTCTGATTCGACGCCGGATCTTACTCTAGACCTATGTTCACCCTGCTATAAAGTCTGTTTCCACTTTTTCAGGCAATGTCATATGAATCCCCGAAACTAACAAACCGACAAAAAGCCCGAATCTCTCTCTCTCATCATTACGAGCAAACAGACAAAAAGCCCGATCTCTCTCACTCTCACTCTTCACACTAATTGAATACACGATCATTCGGCGCTTCATGTTCATCACCCTCGATCATCGCGCTCTCTCTCTCTCTCTCCTATCCATGCTTGTGAGTGCTTTCGGTTCGTTCGGCGCGCGTTCTTCTTGTCGAAGCCCATGAATCCAATGTCGCTCTCGACACCGTATCGCCCGCGACAGAGCAAGAACATCGGTCGACCCGAGTTCCCCCTCCGGCTGTCCGCTTCGTTTTCGGCGTTGTTTTGGGGGGCGAGCTCTGTTTCCTGGTGTCCTTCCCCTGTTTCCACGCTCCGCGTGACATGCTCGATCCTTTTGGGTTGATGGGTCAGGCCGTAATTCCATCGGCATAGTAGCGTGGATGTGATTTTGGGTGTTATTTGATCCTTCCCCTGTTTCCACACTCCGCGTGACAAGGTCGATCCTTTTGGTTTGATGGGTCTGGCGTATTTCGATCCTTCCCAAGTTCTCCTCCCGGTTCCACGCTTCGTTTTCGGCGTTGGTTTGGGGGGCGAGCTCTGTTTCCTGGTCTCTTTCCCCTGTTTCCACACTCCGCGTGACGAGCTCGAGCCTTGTGGTTTGATGGGTCTGGCCTTAATTCGATCGGCATTGTAGTGTGGACGTGATCTTGGGTGGTGGTAATAATATACTAGCATGGAGAAGGAGCCTCTGCTTCCGTATTCGAGCCCCAGGAGGAGGAGGCCGCCGTCCCTCTCGTCGCTCTCCGAGGACGACGAGATCTCCATCGCTCTTCCCCTCACGCCGTCGGAGCTCAAGGACCGCCTCATTTTCGGGCCGTCTCCGTCCCCAGAGGACACTTCGCAGATCGTCGATGCGTTGACTCTGTCCGTGAGTTCGCCCAGACCATCCTCTTCTCAAGACCAGCGCGCACCACCGTCTTTTTATGCGCAAGAGTCTCGCCCGGCTGATTGTAATGAGGCGTGCCCGAAATCCCATTTGCACCGCGCCAAGACGGCGCCAGCTATGGCGGTTTTGAATGACGTTAATCGCCAACCTGCTCCGCCGAAGCCTCAGTCCAGTTCGCAAACGATTGTCCGTCAGGCGGTGATACTTTTAGTTGCTTATTTGTCGTTCGGTGTGGCTATATACTGGTGCAACCGTCATAACTTTGCAGCTATTGAGACTCACCCTGCTGTGGATGCTCTGTACTTTTGCATTGTCACTATGTGCACGATTGGGTATGGTGATATTACGCCAAATAGCCCTGCAACCAAGATGTTTTCTGTAATGTTTGTATTGGTGGGGTTCGGATTTATCGATATATTGTTGTCTGGGATGGTTAGTTATGTCCTTGATTTGCAAGAGAGTTACTTGCTGAAGGCGGCACAGGATAGGAAGGAAAAGAAAGATTCCGGAGGATCCTATTTAATCGATTTGAAAAAGGGGAGGATGAGGATAAGGATGAAAGTGGCATTGGCCTTAGGTGTTGTGTTTCTTTGCATTGGAATTGGTGTGGCTGCGATGCATTTTGTTGAGAGGCTTGGCTGGTCAGATTCCTTTTACTTCTCGGTAATGTCTGTCACCACGGTCGGGTATGGGGACCGTGCGTTCACATCATTAACTGGTCGTATTTTTGCTTCCATCTGGTTACTAGTATCGACGTTAGCGGTTGCGCGGGCTTTTCTCTATTTGGCTGAGGCAAGAGTTGATAAGCGACAAAGGAGAATTGCAAAGTGGGTGCTTGGTCATGATATGACCATAGCCGAGTTCCTGGCAGCCGACATTGACAACAATGGCTTTGTTCGGTATGCTTTGTTCCCTTTATCTTGATAAAACCTTATGGCACATTATGAATTCCTCTACTAAGTATCAACAACGTGTTCATAAGTCTGCTTTCACGTTTGAGCATTATCTAGCGTTAAGGGTCATTCTCAAAAGGCAATTGGGAATAGTTTATAGTTCTGATTAAGTTATTGTACTAGAACACATTTGTATCCTGCTTGCCTTGGTTTAGTTTGTGGAAAATATTCTTGACACTTCGTTTTTGTGTGCTTGTGTAATGTATTGTTCACTCTTATATCCATGAAAATGTTTATTACTCTGCAAGTTCATGCACATTCTGAGTCGAGTTTCGTCTGAGTAGGGAGTAAATATATCTTCTGGGAAAAGTTTATTTAGCAAACGACCCTATTTGATAATTGGTCACACTAGCTACCTGAAATCTCCTTTTATTTCATGCTTTACAAAGCTTGAATTTCTATTAGAACTCTGTATATCTTTGTTAATATCACGATCACTATTTAGAAGTTCGCGTCACCAATTCCGATAGTTTCATCATTTAAGAAAGGTGCAGATTATTGCACTCTATATTCATGGGATTTATGCAAAGTTGAACATGAAGAGAAATGCCTCAGTTCTTATATAATCCAGTTTAAGAATATGTTTTCAGTTAATTTCGCTCTTTTGCATCTTTTCCAACAAAGTGCTGCTGACTTTCTTAAATCTCCCTCCTCACTCCATCCCACCTTCCCTTCTCTTGGAGTGGTCGAGTTATCTGAGATGAGTTCACCATGAGCAGAATTATTATGACATTGAAATGAACAGTATCTCAAATGAACGGATGATGTGTTTGCCGTTTTCTTTTTGATAAGTGCCTACTGTTTATCTGAAACAATTTGCATTTTTAGCAATTTGTTTTTCAGGTAAATAACATACTTACTGAAGATGGTCAAAATAAGATGTTCGTAGTGTCTTTAATGCCAATGGACTTACCTTTAATTGGTACAGTTAATTGTCCATGGTTGTTTGAACTGTTGAATAACTTCAAAGTTTTCACTTCGTCTTCTGTTACATCTGTTCTATGTATACTATACATTGATTCTTTTAGAATTTCAGCTATTCTAGTTTTTGACTATTATCTCTTCGTTTGTTTGTGATTATGAAATTTGAACTTCCATTACTACTTTTAGACAGGTTGTAGTTATGTGTGTCTATCTGTAGGCTTTCCTTCTATGGCTTTTTGTCTTCATAGATGAGGAAGTTATCGATGATATGTTATTGAATAGAAGTATTATTTCCCCCCAAGAAAGTATTAGGGTTTCATGAATGTGTTGAATTTGATCGTAGAGAGAGATCATAAGTTCTTTACTGACAGTGCGTCACTTTATCTTCAACGGCGATGCCTTTTATATGACTCTGGGTGAGTAGAGATATGAAAGGTAGCAACAAGAGAACAAGAGGAAAATCTGATTTTTGGCATGAATGGCTCTCTAGAAGTGGGTATATAGTTGCGCAGGAGAATCTTTGGACTTTGCTAACTCCATTAGTTCAGATGTTTCCCATTTTCATTAATTGAGATTTGCACCAGCAGCTTTTGAGGCAGCTTCCACATTTCCACTATTTCACTCTGTCCAAGTAATGTGGGGAAAAACCTTGCCTGCACCCGGCTCCATTGGACTGGATCTATTTGAGCCGTCGGTCATATGGGCCACACGTGGAACCTGTATGATCAATGGTTTAGATGCACCTGATCCAGCATTCGCAGTCCCCGGGTAGTGAGTATGTTTTGTGGTTGTCACCCAATTACTTATACCCTATTTCACTTTACTGTTGTATGATTAAGTCCTCTTTTTCATCATAATCCTCTTACATCTTCCGAGAGTCTTTCCGCTGTATTCGTTCTGGATCCTGTATGGAGCTGCCTTTAATGTGAGTTTGTCTTTGTTGTGTTCTGCAGTAAATCTGAATATGTCATATACAAGCTTAAGGAAATGGGGAAGGTATCAGAGAAAGACATACTGCGGATCTGCAACACGTTTGACAGACTGGACACTGGCAATTGTGGGAAGATCAGTCTTGCTGATCTCATGGAAAGTCACCATTGACGCGGTTGTTCCTAGTTGACCAGCTGATCGAACGATACAAGACACGAGGCAAGAGAAGTCTTGAAATCCTAATCGGTGGGAAGTCAATATTACGGGCCTAATCAAGTCATAGAAGGTGGTGCTTCTGCAATCATACTACTCGAGTTCCCAGTTCATATGCTCATTGACAAGTTACCAGTTTGGCTTCACCTTCATTGAAGATTACGACGGCTAGTTGCTCTTACAACACTGGTATATCATATTGCTGAGTAGGATTGAAGGAGAGGCGTTGGTCCCGCAAAAGTTTCGCTTTAACTTGGATTATGGATCAGTTTTGGTAAGATAGATGACGGATGGGTACGTTTTCTATCCGTATGTGTTTTGTTCGATTCATTCTTTGTAGAAGCTTTTTTACATGGGCAGTTCTTTCTTTTCTTCCGAGTAATGCTAGGTATACTAGGTGGCACGATGCAAGTGTGGTTTCAAATAGGCAAACCATATTGGATACCCAGACTTTGCCTCGTTGCTTTTGTAAACTAGTTTGAGTATACATAGCATAATTATTTTGTTTTCTTTCCAATATTGCATTGGGTTATATCTGTGAGCTTCAATTGATTTGCAGTTTGTGCATAACATGAACCGAATGCATGTGCATTGGGTTCTTTTGTCAAACAAGTTGGCTCTCTCGGATGGCTATCAATCAGTACATCCTATTCCTCAACACTCACGGCCAAGTCGCATGAAGAGCTGCATTCACTCACCATGCTTTATTTAGACGCAAATATGTACTCAATGCCAATCTTGTAGGCTTTGATGAGTACAAAATCATGACTTGCTAGTGATTTTTGTTCATGCCCTCGAGCTAGATTGAGTTGAAATTGAAATGGACATGGAATAATGACAGACAACGAACATGAACGTTTTAGCGGCACTCGTGGAAATATTGCAAAAAGTGGTTTTAGTGGTATTGACTTTGCCTTCAGCAACTCTTCAAAAGTGCCGAGAAAGTTAGAACCAGACACTCAATTTGATTGAACGCAGTGTTCGGTCCTTGCCCGCACCGAAACCTAGTCCTCCAGTGAATTGGGTGCCCAAGTGATGGCTAGTAAGCCTCGACCTCTATTCAAGCACCGGAATCTGTATGGCCGTCCGAAATTGACCATTTGGGGTCAGGTAACTCCTAGTTTTTGCTATCTTCTTGTCAAAAGCATGCCTTAGGGTCCCCAGGGGGGTTTGAACCACAAAGAATGTTGCATGTGCGAATTGTTGAATCCTCTTATACTCAAATTTGCTCTAGTAGTCACTAGTCAGCAAGTGATGTGATTGTACTAGAGAGAATAGCTTTTGTGATTTTGGGTTGGGTTTGCAATCGAAGAGTCAGCTTCTGGTGGAATTTGGGGATCCTGTCGAGCAAATTTTGGAGAATGCTGTAGGCAAAGTTCAAACCATATAAGTCACTTGAGCAGACTTTTGCATCACTACTCTTCAGTATTTCTGCTTTATTTACTTATTTTGCATGACCAATTATTTATTGTAGAATAGTGTTTGCATATAAACCTACATTAGTTGCCATTTAATTTGGACGACACTCATGTCAAGACACTAAGTTCTTCATCCAAGTGAGCTTAAAGGAGATGCATCCGTTGACACATAAAGATAACACATGAAATTCAATGTCATCATCTCCACTGATGTTGTGTAACCATCATAAACCAAGACCAGCAGGTTGATTAGGAAGACGGACCACAACTTCAGCAAACATGAACTTCATCAAATAGGCCATTAGCAAGCGCGCCTGAACATTGAAGAAAGTAACCAGAATGCCAAGAGAACGAAAATAGGGAAATGGCTATTTGATTTTGGAGCACAAAGAATTCATGGTTCATGAATAATTATCGCTTATATTCACGTAGGCTAACACTATAAATGGCTCATGAGAAAAGAAAAAACTATGGAGGATAGTATTCAGGGTAAAGGCATGGGAGGTCTCCACTTGGAGAACTCAATCAAGTCTCTGTTAACAAATGATCCATTGTGCAGCCAAAATGTCTCGGTAGACTGGTGGAAATATCTCACTTTTCTTTGAAGTTCCCACAAAATTGCATTAGTTGCTGAGCACAGATTCGATTCAGGAGCATAGACCCACAAGCACCTTACCTGCCTCCCGTTGGCTATCATCTCTTCTATGGATTTATCTGACAGGAAATAGAATCAATATTAACTGATGATCGATTATGAGGGGGGAGACCTGAAAAAAGGTGTGAGACGCCAACCTGGTATCGATTCCAAGTACTCCAACAACTCGGGCCCTATTCGAGAAGATGGCCACTTGATCGATATCTTCTTGTAGTCAATAACATTTTGAAAAGGCAGTTCTACTTGATCTGACAGGAGCACTGGGACACACTCCTAGTAACCAAATCATGGAGATTGTCTACATTACATATTGCAAATGCTAGAATCTATGCCACGTGCCAGTGTGTTGTTGGCGTGGACATGTGCACTCACAGAGAGAGAGAGAGAACTTACCACAAAAAAAGCCTCATAAAAGCGAAGAGTCCAGGATGACTCCCCACGTGGAGCAAGGCAGAACTTAGCATCCCGTAGGTGTTCAAAATACTCTTGCCTGCCCAATTTGTCTGGCCCCTTGAACTTCAACTCTGGACATTCAAGCTGCTTATGAAATGAATAGTCATAATGCAACATATACCTGCGTTCCTTGGTTATCATAAAAATTTTGAATGGAGCTCTTTTTGCTGTTCTTTTATGCATATGGAGCTTTTTATTCTGTGTTGCACAACAACTTCATATGCACATGGAACACAGCAAAAGAAGTTTTCAGTTGTTCCTCAATAATATAGCTGAAAATTGCAAGCCACTTCATATGGTTCTTTTGATTTTTCATGCTATAAGAAATCTATCCATATTAAAATATGTACCCTAAAAATGTTATGATGGACAATTACATAATTATCCACTGAAATTGTCAACTTCTTAGCAATCTTCTAAGGAGGTGTCCTGCTTCAAGTTCCCTAATCATGACGATGTTTTACCTAACTGATATTCTTAGTCCACCGCCCATAGTACAAACTATCAGGTGAAGATACTCTGAAGTCTACAAGGAAGTGATGAAACAGAAGACATGAGACAATCCAAACAACAAATAATTTTGGTATACATCACATTGATTTCCTAATCCAGATTCTACAAATCATCAACTGGGATATTGCAGAAGAGTTACCTTATCTGGAAACTGCTTTGCAAGTTCTATCAGCCGAAGACGGCCAACCTTATTCTGAGCACGACCTAAATAGTTTGTCAAGTATTTCCTCTTCCGTAAAGGCAATGGCTGGACCACAGTTTCACTGGTCATCTTGTCATCAACATTGCCAGGAATGATGATATCTTTCCAAGTATTAAAAGCACTTGAGTCCCGCTTATCAGTCCGATCACCCTGCACTAACAGGTAGATTCAAAATTTCCATTGTCAAAACTCAGGTCTGCCAAATATTTGGTTGGTTCATCTTAAGTAAAATTACTTTAGAATCACTAAAATCGTCGAAGTGCAATGCCTTTCAAGGAAATCAACTATGTCTGAGTGTGATAGTCAATCACTTCGACCACATATTCCAGTACTTCTAAATATACAATCTCTCAAAAAAAATCACCGAAGATAAATCTCTTCAAGCATTCTCATATTTGAAAAGCACAAAAGAAACAGTTGTATTTTCTTTCTTCATGTCACCTACTCAAATCTAGTAGAACAAGGACAATTACAAAAACAGAAGCATTAAGATGATCATGGTCTGGCATGTAGAAAAAACCAAGATCTGATAATTTCCCAGAACATTGATGAATGTAGAAGTATAAAATGGAGGAAATTCGAAAAATCCTGTTTACTATTATCAACTTCGTGTCCTCCTTGTACACTGAATACAGGAAAAGGCTGTGTGCACTTATTCTAAAAAGAAAATACTAGTTTCCCTAAGAAATCTCACTAAAATATGTGGCAAATTTAGATTAGGTATTGAAATAAGTGAGGCCTGTGCTTTGAATCATTGGCTTCTTAACCCAATAAAGATTGCCATATCGCTGAGTAAAAAGAGTAAGATTTCTTAGCACATGCATCATTGCTCATTCTAAAATTCATCCGACAAACTACAAGGGAGAGCATCAAAGGCAGTACTAAGCAGTCACAAAAGAAAAAAATTGGAAGGTGGAACTCAACTTTAACAAAAAAGTGTTCTCATGTCCCTTTCAGTTGCCTTAAGAACAACAAAGAGAGCAAACCATGTGTCCAGTATGTTCACGAGAATATGTCCACCACAAAACACAACCAGCAGAAAGTGAATTATCCATGTTTACACATTGGTTCACATTTCTTTTGCCTTAGTATGATTCCGAGATCACTAAATGAGTATCCTTATTCTGGGGTATGATTCCGAGATCACTAAATGAGTATCCTTATTTTGGGGCATTATACACCTTGGTCAAGAGTAGGGATAATAAAGAGAATGCTTCACAACAATAAAGGATGTCATTTCACATAAGCTAAGTCCACCAGACACATGAAAACAAAATCTATGTCTCAACCCAGACGCTATAATTTTGAAGGAGAAAATTATACTTCATTGCACGGCTAGTAAATTCTAAAACATAAAGGACGTACAAGAAGCCAACCATGTTGCCTCTGAATCCTATCACAAGTCCTAACTGTGGAAATCATTCCAGAGCAACATATCCTGGAGACTAAGTAATGTACCTCAGGGGTGAGAATTATAGACCTATTAATGTATGTCGCCCAAGATTGAAATAAGTGAGCTCCAGCACCGCTGCAGTTGCACAAAAGAACAACAATTGATCACCACATGAGGAAGCTAGCAAAACTGTATAATTGAATACTATTGTCAAATTTCACTGAAGGCTGGATCATTAGTGAAGTAAGTCTAGATCTTTTTTAGTTTCAAAGCAAATTCATGAACCACTGCCAAATTGAACATTGAGAAAACAGAAACTTTATGACTAAATGTCAAGGATCAGGAAAGCAAGATAAATACTACAGGTGAGTTTCAATCCATGATACATCTTTGAGCTACAAACTCAACCAGTTGCCTCACACAGAATGCAAAGAACTAAGGGTACCTTGGAAAGACAAATATGTGGTTGCGACCTCCTGAAAACCTGAAATAAGGCATCTGACTCAGAACCTGCACTGAACGAGGCAAGGATCAACTAAACAAAAAGAGCAATATGCATCCAAACAACCACGTCAACATAAAGCCATCGAAAAACAACAACGGACCCTTTTTTGAATTCTTTTCCAAAATGAGTTAACTTATTTCAGAACAGTGTGCTTTGAAAGTTAGTTCCTTGCCAATCTATTCCGAAAATTGCTTCTGAAACAAAGGTTGTTTTCAGAAACATAAACTGCTGCTTTCAATTATTGTCACCTAGATATCTCTAAACATCTTATGCAGAACCAATTATCTCTTCGAACTAGAATGAGACATATCAAAATTACTATCCTCAAAATCTGTCATAGTCATTTTGAACTACAAACAACTGCAACTAATTTCTGTTTTTGTTCTCACAAGTGTTTTCTTGATAAAAAAAAAAAACACAGAACTCTTCCGAACGCCAACAAAGTATTCACCTTCACATATGTCCGGTCAATCTCTTTGTCATTGAGGCCTCCCATCATCCGAACGCACTTAACATAGGCTGGCACAAAGAAAAGATCCGCCTCCTCTTTCTTTCTTGTACGAAATCTGGATTCTAGAAAGAGCCTATGTATTTTAACCTGCATTGTTAGAGGAAACTCTAATAATTAGCATCAATGGCATGCATAATTAAGAAACTACAAAGCCCCATAAACATTCGCAAACTACAGAGAACACCAAACACAATAGCTCCAAATATTGTATCCTTCTCATAAATCCTCCCAAAAGACTGCTAAGTTCCTACATGATCAATGCTCTCAGAGACATGGTCCGGAAACACCACGTTATTGAATCACATTTCCTCTTTCTGATGAAGGTCCAAACAATAATCTTGAAGCAATCTATGTACTAAAGAGTCCCAAATGCGCCTCCAAAAACTAAAACAGTTCGAAATCCTCGAGAGTTGCAACAATCGCTCAGACACGCTAATATCAATCACACTGAAACCAAAATTAAGAAACACTAAGCAACAAAAGCATGCTTCTGCAGCTACAGGACCAGGCTTCTCCTGCCTAACAAGACCACATGACCAATCCTGAGCATCATCAGTTCACAATTGTAACTGCACGTTATACCCATCAGGGAGCAGAAAACTTGAACCTGGAAACAGAGACCCGAAACTCGAAATCGCCGGAAAAGCACTCAAATGACATCGAAAAACCGAAATCAAGTACCTGAGAGCCCCATTGACCCTTAACACAGCTCTCCGGCGAGATCCGGCCGTCTCGCCCGGACAGCAACGCCTTCAACCCGTCGACCTCGTCCTCTTCGTACACGTAGATCCTGAGCGACAGGTGAGTCCCGTACCCTCCGCTAGGCCACGCGAGGGACCCGCTGCCGCCGTCGAACCGCGCGACGGCGGAGTCGTGAGCGCCGTCCCGGCCGATCGCCGCGGCGGTGGAGCAGGGGGCGAAGGCGTGGTCGAAGAGCCTGGTGAGGAAGAAGGTGGCGACGACGAGGAGGAGGGCGCCGATCTGGTGCGTGCGAGTGCAGGGGGTGTGGTGGTGGTGGTGGTGGTGCGGCGGACCGAGAGTCCTCGGCTTGTTCATCGCCGGTGAGCGCCGAGCGGCGGTGGCTGGATTCCTCACGCTCACCGGGAAGTGGCGAAGTCGGAGAGGAGGGAGAGTGAATTTTCCTTTTTCATGTTTCCAAGCGACGGAGAGTGAGCCTTATGGAGAAGATAGTAGCCGGGGGCGTGCACGGAAAGTGGGTGAGAGTGGTCGGTTTCCGGTCCGGCTCGATCCGATCCAGGACTCAAGAACTGGATCGGGAGGGAGCACCGGTTTTCAGTTTCCAAGACCGGAGACCAGATCGACTGGCCTTGGGACTGGCGGTTAGACCGGACCGGTCCGATCCAGTTCCAAAGGAGCACTTGTTCAATGGACCTGGGAATTAAAAAAAATGCGGGTGACATATCTGGCTTCCATCCCTAATCTAGTGGAGATTCTGAACTCCGAGCGAGGGGGCGGCTCTTGAAGTGATCATCGGGCGAACTCAAACCAAAGCAGGCCATGAAGTCCGGTTTAAATCGTTATTTTTTTTTTTTTTGATAACCCAGGGAACCCCCGCACGGGTTTTAAATCGTTATTCAAGCCTACGCATCTTAAAAACTTTATGCATAATTCTTCAAGATGGGTTGGGTTCAGCTCGAAGCTAAAGGGGCTAAGCTTGACATCCTAACTAAATCGCCTTATCGGAGCCAGCCCAATATTACCCTTTAGGCTCGCCTTGGCTCGAACCGCACCCTAAATGGAAGTATTCTTTGAAATTGAAATTAACTCAAAAGAGTTGCCTTTTTTATGTAATGGCATTATGCATTGGAACTAATAATAAGCATGCTTAAGTAAAAGCATTGTTAGAATGGATGATCTTTTTAGAAAAGTGCTTACGTGTACACTTAAAAGACAAAAACATAAGTCACGACATAATATGAACCGAAGCGAACGATGCCTTAAATGAGTGAAATTAGGGTGTTACATTGTAGTGTACAACTTTCTTTTTGCTTTTACAACTTTCATCGTAAACCACTAAACACTTCACAAACATATTATTAAGTGATCCCACAAATTTGTTTATTGATCGACGATGAAATAAACATCTATCTCTTGAAATAAATAACTTTGAAGGTTAGGAGTAAATATTGCATGCATATAATGCATGTCAGTCAATTCCATCTCATTCATACGATTATGTGGGTCGGAACTCAAATTATTTAATGGCTAAAATGGAGTGGGTTTATATACTTCGAGTGCATGCAAGAATTTTTCGAAGGGTATGAAACTGTTATTTTTAGCTGGCTTTCAAAACTAGGGTTTAATGTCAACTTTATCTAACTAGGCAAGGATTTGTGTTCCGTTTTGTTGGGGTTTTTAAAAGTCTTTGGGAAAATATAAAGAACTTTAGGTTAAAGAGATTTTTCGAAATGCAAATAGTGTTTGATAAAGTGTAATTTAAAAGTGCATTGGGAAGCAACTTTGGTTTAAATGATCTTTGGAAAAATTACATTTATAAAGGACTTCTGTTATTTTTAAAAAAAAAACTTAAGTCAAACTCTTCACCAAATCGCCTTATCGGAGCCAGCCCAATATTACCCTTTAGGCTCGCCTTGTGTCGAACCGCACCCTAAATGGAAGTATTCTTTGAAATTGAAATTAACTCAAAAGAGTTGCCTTTTTTATGTAATGGCATTATGCATTGGAACTAATAATAAGCATGCTTAAGTAAAAGCATTGTTAGAATGGATGATCTTTTTAGAAAAGTGCTTACATGTACACTAAAAAGACAAAAACATAAGTCACGACATAATATGAATCAAGAAAGCTTAATGATAATTAAAAAATGAAGTTAGGGTGTTACATTATAGTATACAAGTTTCTTTTTGCTTTTACAACTTTCATCATAAAACCACTAAACACTTCACAAACATATTATTAAGTGATCCCACAAATTTGTTTATTGATCAACGATGAAATAAACATCTATCTCTTGAAATAAATAACTTTGAAGGTTAGGAGTAAGTATTGCATGCATATAATGCATATCACTCAATTCCATCTCATTCATTAGATCATGTGAATCAAAACTCAAATTATTCAATGGCTAAAATGGAGTGGGTCTATATGCTTTGAGTGCATGCAAGAATTTTTCGAAGGGTATGAAATTGTTATCTTTAGATGGACATTTGGCTTTCAAAACTAGGGTTTAATGTCAACTTTGTCTAACTAGGCAAGGATTTGTGTTCCGTTTTGTTGGATTTTTTAAGTCTTTGGCAAAATATAAAGAACTTTAGGTTAAAGAGATATTTCAAAATGCAAATAGTGTTTGGTAAAATGTAATTTAAAAGTGCATTGAAAAGCAACTTTGGTTTAAATGATGTTTTGAAAAAAATTCACTTATAAAGGACTTTTGTTATTTAAAAAAAAAAACTAAAGTCAAACTCTTCACCAAATGCCAATAAGATAGATCTACACACCGACTGTCGTCACCTCAAGCGACCCTCTGCGAGGCTACTAGGGTCATGTGACCTTAGGTGGCCCTAGTTGGGGTCGCATGACCCTTGCCTGGGGTCGTGCGACCTTGGTGAGGGGTCGCTAGTGCTAGATCTAGTTCTCTGGCGATTAGATTTGGGTCACTGGCAAAGTTGCACGATGGAAAATGGTGGGGGAATTTTCGAAATTTTGAACATTTTTAACAAGGGCAAAATTGGAAAAAATGTATCAGTATTCCGAAAATGCTAAAGCCAAAATTTGGATCCGCCTTAAGTTAAGGGACTTTAGAGGGCTTTAGAAATACAATTGCATCATCCCAAAGCTCAACAAAAAATTGCCAAACGATACTTACATTTGCCCAAGGTAGTTTAGAGCCCTAAAAGCTTTTGGTAAAACTACACGAAATGTATGAAGGCCCAATGCAAGTTTTTTTTTTTTTGGTCAGAAGGCCCAATGCAAGTTTGAAAAGCCCAATTCACTAGTCTTAAGCAAACTGGGGAGAAAATTATTTAAAAAGTCTTAAATCTATTACACTTTAATTAATTTAGTCCTAAACCTATTACACTTTTGCTAATTAAATCCTAAACCTTTTCAAGTTTTGCCAATTGGGGTCGAATGGACTCAATTTACAAAATTGAAAGGTTTAGAACTAAAGAGGCAAAAGTGTAATAGATTTAGGACTTTTTGGACAATTTTCTCGCTAGCTGAGAATGCGATCTCGACATTTTTAAGAAAATGGGCCTTGCATCAAACAGGTCTCGGCTCGTGCAACTTTAAGGCTTTTGCATGAGAAGGCCCAATTACACTTCATGAATTGGACGAATGCAATCTCGAAAACCTTCTTTTTTTCCCTGAAAATGGGCCATTTGTCTCATGACGAGCCCCGATGCAATTTCTTAAAACTCATTGTGGGATGGATCCATTTGGGCAATTCAAACGTGCAAGGACAGAAGTGCGAAAAGCAAACAGTACGAAACAAAAGGAAACCTAGTGATATCATATCGGCATAGACACTCCCACGAACTTGTGAGGTTCAATGCCTATTAGAGATGGGTGCCATCTAGGTTTTAAGGCTCCCACTCTAATCATGACCTCCGATGAAACGAGCCGCGTCGAGTCGGCATGATACTACCTCCGACTTGCAGACAGCCTTAGCGAAGTCGTGTGTCTCTTATATATATATTCTCTGTACATGTGACTGTACACATGTATGGCCACCTTAGCAAAATTTGAAAAATATATATATGTAAAAAGAGGAGAACATAGGCCTAATTAACTTTCTCTTTTTCTGCCCACTTGCGATGGCGAGGGCCAGTGAACCTCATCGGTGTCTCGACAGGGTGGCTGGCTCTCGCAGGTGGTCATGTGAGGGCCATAGGAGCTTGCCCCTGAACAAGCAAAGGCGAAAGCCCTCATGCTCGGGGGCGGTACCATCGCGAGCCACGCTGAGTAGGGTCATCGGACCTCATGAGGACAAGCTGACCCTTGCTCCGTGATGGTACACGGTGGCCTATGGCCCTCGCTAGCTATCAACAAAGGCCGTGGCCCTTGCACGGCTATCGGCCTCACTAGCACCGGTGGAGGGTGACGCCTTTATCTCCCCCTCCCTATCTTCTCCCCTTCCCCATGTTTCTGTTCTCTCTGTTTTTTTTTTTTAAACTTTTTTTGAGTTTATTGATGTGGTCATACACGTGGATAGCCACGTCAACAAATGTGGGGTCTATGTGATGAATGGATGGCCATGTCAGCTAAAAGGACCAACTCAGCTTAAATAAAAACATACGCGGACCAATATGACTAAAATTGAAGTTTAAATGCCAAATTGAATATCGATTAAGAATTTAAGGATCAATTTTGGGCCTTTTGGCATTGTACTTACACAATATCTTAGTTACGCAGTATTATTGGTGATCACATAAGCAAACTACTATTTGTTGGTCTCGTGACATATATTGATTTTGGGGTTCACAAGATTGGCCCATCTGAATATGGGAAGTCCGTGACGCCACAATTTCATGTGTGTTTCACCTTTCATGTGAGCTTTTGTCCAATAATAATATGAAATAATAGGTAACTTTAGTCTATACTAGTATAAATGCCCTTGCGTTGCGCGTGTCAAAAAATTAATTTAAAAGATTTTGCAAAATCGCCTTAGTATGAAGTATTTGGATTTTTTTTTTTTGGTTGAAATGAAATATTTGAATTTGCACTGGGGAAAAAGCCAACTTTCAAATTCGGTATCCCCTTTAAATAACAAAAGTGTCGTTCTTCTCAATATTAAAGATTGAAGAAAAAAAAATTTAATTTTACTGGTGAAAACCCAATTTTCTTGAATAGTTACCGAACAAATCTCCAATATATATGTTCAACTTAATCTACCTTGAAATTCGTATTTCTATCCCTATTTTAGTGTAAAAGAAATCACCCACCTCGATATCCAATAGGATGCACAGAGCGCATGTGAGGGAACTAAAAGATAAATAGAACACACTTTTAAAATGAAAAATTTCGTTAAGACGATGCATTATTAATTACTAGAAAGAAAAATTTTTGCCGGAGATGATGTATACGTATGAGTGAAAAGATATAAACACTTCAACACTTACATTTTTTTTTTTATAGGTTGTTTGTTAGATAGAAAAAAGTTGAAAATTTTAAATTGAAGTACATTAGAGATAAGATAAAATTATTAATTTACACATTCGACCATTGACAGAATACTTATAACATAACTATTAGATAATATTCTTGAAAAAAAAAACAACTGTGATCTCTTAAAAATAAGAGATATTATTTGTTTAATATAACAATATAGAAAAGGGCAAAAAAGGATTGTTATATCTGAAAGGTCTTAACCTTAGATTTGCAATTTGTGGGTCTTACTTGGCAACCTCATGGCCACTATCATCTCACCAAGAAATCTCCCACCAATGACACCGCGGGTTCTTGGATAGAGCCCTTATCTCATTGTCCTATCGGAGGACTTGGTCCGATCCTGAGATGGAAGATTAGCTTTTAGCTCGACTATTAATGAAATAATTGCATTAAAAGTTTCAAAACTTTATCATCGAATTGCAAATGAATTGCAAGATTATTAAAAAGTACAACTAAATCCTCAAATTTATCAAATTGGTGCAATCACCTTTCTTTAATTTCGTCTAATTAAGATAACGAAAACTGCTTATATGTTCATTTCCGTTATTTTCTCCATCCCGCATGGCATTAACATTATTAACGGGTGGAGGCGTCATCGATGACTGGGCATAGCTAGTTAGGGAAATCTTATAATTTATAGCACCAGTTATTCCAATTAAGTTTGCTTTTAGAAGAGTAGAAGAATATAAAATGAATGTAAATCAGTCGGATTAGATCCTTTTTCTCCATAAGAGTTGTCTGCTTCAACTCGAATCATTTTATTTTCACAAAGAAGAAATTTAAAAAAAATTAAATCACAAAAATGCATAGCCAAGAGAAGCACCAACTTTTTCGCCGGTGGATTGTTGAGCTACAATTTCCGATATGAAATGAAAACACAATTTGAAGACAACAGAAATTCAGTAAAAAGATATTCGAACGCGATACGACACAACACATCTTAACTCCAAACTAACATAATCGACACATGTTTGCCCGTTTTCAGTTATAAATAATCGATAATCACGTCAATTTATTCTCGTGGTGACATAGAATGATGCAAATAAGATGACACGGCACGAGTTGTCACCCGTGATAGGGTGAACCAAAAGCTCCAAATAAATATCTGACCGATCGATGGTGATGACCTATCAAGGTCCTCCCTCAAGTGTCGAAACGCGAAAAATCCTCGGAAGTTGCATGCGGACCAATCAACCAAGACATCGCATGTAGTCATCGAAGAAACTTCAAAAAAAAATCTAGGAACGCTCGTATGAACCGCACGAACTGGTGGAGTAGGGCGAGCCACGTAGGATAAGAGCGAAGGCAAGGATGGAATCTTGAACGACCAATCAAATGCGAGATAGAGATATCACATGATAAGGCTCATATCACTCCAATCCCAGTATTTATGTTCCACCAAACGTTGCCAATTCATATCATTCTCACACTTCCTCACCTCACCAAGTTGAACTAGGCTTTCCTTCTGTTTCAAAGCAAGAATGGCAGCCTCCACCATGGCTCTCTCCTCCCCTTCGCTCGCCGGCAAGGCCGTGCAGCTCTCCCCGTCGGCCCCCGAGCTCTTCGGCAACGGGAGAGTCGCCATGAGGAAGACCGGCGGCAGGCCCGTGGTACGGCCCTCGTCCGGGAGCCCGTGGTACGGCCCCGACCGCGTCAAGTACCTCGGCCCCTTCTCCGGCGACCCCCCGTCCTACCTCACCGGCGAGTTCCCCGGCGACTACGGGTGGGACACCGCCGGGCTCTCGGCCGACCCCGAGACCTTCGCCAAGAACCGGGAGCTCGAGGTGATCCACGCCCGGTGGGCCATGCTCGGGACCCTCGGGTGCGTGTTCCCGGAGCTCCTGGCCCGCAACGGCGTCAAGTTCGGCGAGGCCGTGTGGTTCAAGGCGGGCGCCCAGATCTTCAGCGAGGGCGGCCTCGACTACCTCGGCAACCCCAGCCTGATCCACGCCCAGAGCATCCTGGCCATCTGGGCCTGCCAGGTCATCCTGATGGGCGCCGTCGAGGGCTACCGCGTCGCCGGCGGTCCCCTCGGCGAGGTCACCGACCCGCTCTACCCGGGAGGGAGCTTCGACCCGCTGGGACTCGCGGACGACCCCGAGGCCTTCGCGGAGCTCAAGGTGAAGGAGATCAAGAACGGGAGGCTCGCCATGTTCTCCATGTTCGGGTTCTACGTGCAGGCCATCGTGACCGGAAAGGGGCCGCTGGAGAACCTGGCCGACCACCTCGCCGACCCGGTTAAAAACAACGCTTGGGCCTACGCCACCAACTTCGTCCCCGGAAAGTGAGGGCCCTATCCTATGTAAACGAGAGGGTTAATATTGTGACGATTCTTGTGCTTCCTCATCTCGTGTAAATTCATGCAAATTACTTAATGATGAGTTGAGAATGTTGTTACCCTTTTGTGTTCTCTTCCAAATTTCATTGCTGGTCTACCGTCGTTGATATGGAAATTGCCCATTGCTCGCAGGGCAACGGACAGGTACACTACTCGTTGCTACCTGAGAATAGCCTAATTCAGAAAAATTAGGGTTAAATTGCTAATTATTATACACATGAAATTAAGAAAAATGGTTAAGTGCTCGTCTTTAATCCATCGTGAGTAAGGGTGAGTAAGATGGATCGATTGGACCGGGAACCGCCCGGACTGAACTAAACCGGCAAGTTGGGTCCGATTCCCGGTTCCTAAAAGTAAAATCGGTGTTCGGACAGTTCGGTTCCCGGACCGATCGGATTGGATCGACGATGTGTGTATATGTATATATACTATTTCTTCAAACAATTGAGTCAATCATCAGTAAGAGATAAATGACTACGTATAGCAGTCACCTTACAACATTCTCGTACCGTATCCTTTCTTATTGTTGGCTAACCTCAGCCTTGGCAATGGGTCCGATTCAACCGCAGCAAAACCACTTCCTCTGCATTCAAATCTGGAATTGCAGGTGTCGACAAATTCTGCCTCTAAGAAATTTAACCAGATGAGGGCAAAGAGAAATAAGAACTTGAGAAAATAAATTAATGGAGCATGACTATATAGAAATATATATATTTCTTCAAAAATTCTCTCACTCTTTGACCGATTCCATTGGACAAGACAGGACCATCAATCCGGTTCGGTTCCCGATTCCTGGGTGGACCGGACCGTGAACCGATCACCCCTAATCGTGAGATTAATAACCTCTATTAGATCACAAAATAACTAATAATAAATAATTATAAATTGTTGTGAAGTTCATTTCTTAAAACATTTTTGGTCCACAATTAAAGATTGCTAAGTGTTATGCTGGTCGAACTTTGAAACTAATTATTTTGTAAGAGGGCAATGCTACCGTGACATCACCATTACTTTCGGTGAGTGACGGTCCGATAGGTGCCACCCGTTTAGTTGTTGGAGAGAACCACGGGGTTTTATATATATGAAGAAATAAACCAATGACGTTAATAAAGGAAAAAAATAGCCCATGTGATAATTGAACCGCATATCTTAGATAGTAGTAAAATTGATACATATTATATTCATAAGAATTCATAAAAGAAGAAAATTAACTATCAAACGCCCATATAATATTTTGATTTGCGAGTTTGAAAAATAAGCTCACTGATCTCTTTATAATTTTAAAAAAATAAAAGACAAAAGGGCAAATTACAATGTGATGTAGGGAACAGAACGAATATGGTTCGAATAACAGTTCTCGCCACGAGAACACTATGCAAATACAATATCAATTTGCTAAGAGAAACCTGAATCCAAATTCAAACTAAACATGGTCCAACACGACACGAAATGAGAACACTATTCAAACGCGATATAAACTTTTGAAGAGAAACTTGAACTCGAACATGAACTAAATATGATCCGACACGATACGCTTAGATAAAAAGTGTCATGAACCGGCTAGTTTTCACCAATTTTCATTAAAAAAAAGGCGGATTTTAAAGAAGTTGAAGCATTTGGGTCATACACGCAAAATGGCACTAAATCTAATAACCAAACATGATAATTACAGCAAAAAAAAGAAAAAGAAAAACATGGATATGATAATATACAGGAATCATCACCTTTATTTCACACTCATAATCATCAAAATTTTGCTCGTTTCTTCTTTGGAGTTTTTATGTATATATAATTATGTCAATTTATTAATTTTTTTTATTTATGTAGTAAATACCATTTGGCGGACCAGCAAATATGTGATGCAGATTTTCAATTTTACCTTTTTTCTTTTACACCAAAAAGGGTAGAGGAGAGGTGGCCAAAACTCGCAACCTGTCACGAAATTTTTAGTTTGAGCTATAACCATTCAACACTTACCGAGATACTTGAGTCTGGCGAAATTTTTATATATTTATTTTTGGACCCAAGAGAATTTTCATTTATGTGCTCATTACATGACACTTCACTTTGCCTTTATGATTGTCTCATGGCAAGCCACATGGTATGTTTCTGCCACGTGGTCCACATTCGACCAATGACTATTAAGTTTAGTGATTTATCATTTTCAAACATCTATATGTTGAGTTTAAATTTCCAAAAATAAATTGATGAGGAGAAAATACATAAGATATCTTCTTAATCGATATAATTTAGTCTTAAACATTTTTTCGGAATATATAAAAAAATGGTGTAGTTTTCTATTTAACCAAGAATGAAATAAAGGGTGTATTTTATTTCCTTCAGCAAAACTTATTGAATGATACAAATCTTTGTTCTAATAGTATAGTTTCCTTAAACAAACCCAAACTTGACTAACTAAGACTGAAACAAATGATATAGTTTTAATCAACTCACGAAAACTTTGAGAAAATAAAATCAACAACTTATTTGAAACGTGCATTATTACGTTTCATTTATTTTTATTTTCCAATTTTAAAGCTATTTATCTATTGTCGCTTATATCATCTAAAATAACATCATTTTTAAAAATAAAATGAAGATATTTTTATTCAAAAAATAAATGCGTTAGTTTATTGTTCAACAGCTCTTTTTTTTTTTAATCTTAAACGTATATTGAAATTTAAATAAGGAACAAGGAGGGACGTTCTTGACTTTTGATCACTAAGTCATTAAGATCAAATGGAAATTTCATTTAAAGTACATTTATTTATTGGTATTTTGTATAAATGATTAGGAAAAAAGTTTTTAATTGTTATTTTTTATGCTCTACGGGTGAGAGCTCCAAATTATATACAGATGAAATTGATTGACTCTAATAACTAGAACGAGAATGAACATACATAAAAGTACATTTACTTATTCATCTGAAGTTCATTGCAATCTATTATTTAAACTCGGAATTTTTCTCGAGTCTTGATATTCTTTTTCTCTTATAATTACAGCACGTCATATGTAACATTCTGTTGAGATACGTTTTGCTAGTTGACGAAATTTTTACTTATCTAAAAAAATAGATTATTAATAATTAAATTGATTAATATATATCATATCAATAATTACGTGAAGGTGGACTATTTAGCTAATGGATTACATTAAGTTAATCAAGCATGTTAATAAGATATTGAAGAGTGTCACGATTCGTCATCGAAAGAAATTAGTACTCATACTTTTGAAGCAATAGGGAAAATTCCATATCAATTCACACACGCATCTCGATTTCATTTTGTTTATTTAAATCGATCATTGTGAATCGTGATTAGACCTAATCAACAAGTAAGTAGCCCAAACAAACCCGGTCGACTCGAAGGGCAAAATTGAAAAGTACAAGTAAGAAATCGCGTTCTTAGCCCAAATTGCCCACTCAGTGGATCAAGATCCATCGAAATGCAATCGATTTTATCAAAAAATTATTAATGTTTCCGGCTTCGTTTGTTTCGCAGAATATATATGATTTGGAAAATATATTCCTAAAAATGACCGCTCATGCCGTTTGAAATAATTAGTCGATAAAAAATATTTATTATCGACAATAATTTATATCTAAATATTTCTGTGGACGACGTATCTTTCATTCCTTCATATTTATAAGCGATACATACGACCATTTTAAAATTATTTATTTTTATCTGATAAAAAAATTATTTATTTTTCTCGAAACAAACCTACATCATAAATAGACTTGGATAGGGTATATAGGCTCGTTATTAAATTGTGTTGGTCCGGATCCCATCTCATTCTCTTCAAATAAGTAGACAGATAGCATCCGAAATTACGTATTTGACCTTAGAGAGCATACTCCGTTACATTTTATTATTTTTTTGTTTGCCTAATCTATTTGCTCTGTTTAGCGTTGTCTGGCGTGTGCGCACGTGTGAGCCGCGCTCGCTCACGGCTTGACTCTGACTCCGGCCGGCCATACGCGCACCTCCTCGGCTCCTCCGTCGGACCGGGCGGCGGCGGCGGCGTTGCAGATCGGCATCCGTAGGGACCCGATGCCTGTTCTCCGACAGGTCTTGTCACTCGTTACTTCCCTTTCGCTATCGAGCGGTTTCATTTCACGGGACAGGGTTCGCGACTTGCCTTGTATCTTCTTGGATTCGTCGGTTTCACCTCGCGCCTTTTCTTGCCCCTTGATTTCCCTGAATTTGACCGACCCCTCTTTTCGTTTCTCCGTCGCTGCAACGAGGAACAATCCCACATAGCAGTACTCTTCTTTCTTTGGTGGGTCGGTTCTGATTCCTGTCGTTTGGCGTACAGAAGTTCTCCAGTGGCATTTCTGCACACTTTAGTCCACGCCAGTTCAAGTGGCATCGGTCACGTTGTAATTTATCGAACTTGTTTCGTATCTTGATGAACTGGGTTTCAAAGATGAAAACCCAAGTGCTAAGTTTGCTTTTGGGCTCAAAGATCTGTGCAGTTGTAGTGGTACTGCAAACTCCAGAGTGTGTTCTTGAGTTTTAATCTTGGCAGGGCATGTTTTGTTTCTCCTTTTCGATTTTATGATTCAACTAAATTGACATGGGGAAATAAGTTTCAATCTTGAAGTAGCACGTGCCATTTCCTGTGTAGATTATGGCTTCTGGCTCTGTTGTTGCTGCTCTTACTGCTCTGGTTCTTCTGATATTGATCCGCTTTCTATACATCGTACATTGGGGTGGAAAATCGCGCCATGGGAAATCTCGGAGAACCTATAGTACCCTCATTGTTTTAGGCTCAGGTTAGCTAGTAAATGGTTTACTTGTTAGCTTCTTTCTAGATTTCATTCGCTGAGAACTCATCGTGGTTATACTATGTCCATTCATCGACTTTTGCAGGGGGTCACACTGCCGAGATGTTGAATCTCTTGTCTGTGTTGCAGAAAGATAGGTTTGCACCTAGATTCTACATTGCGGCTGCCACTGACAATATGAGTCTCCAAAAAGCTCGCGTGATGGAGGACTCTCTAATTGACGCGGTAAAGTGCTAATAGCTGTGCTTTAAGGATATGTCAACTGAGTTTCCTGCTTTATGCTTGTGATAATTCTCTATCACTGCCGTTATTGTTCTTATAGGACTTCAATCACTCAATTGTTCTTTCAAAAGATGCTTGAGAACATGGATTTTGCGAATGAGGATTCACATTTGAGATTTTGATTGTGCCGAGACCTTGATTATGTAGTAGGAATGTAGAATGAGGTTATTTGTGGGTCATAATAGAGCATTGACATTGGTAGCAGTTGAGAAACAACACCCTTGGAAGGACCAGCTTGTCGAGGAGAGTGGAAACCAATTCTAGCTCAAGATGTGAAAATAGTATTCATCTCATAGACCCTTCACTTGTATTTGAGTCAACTTGTAGTAGAGATTTAATTCTTGAAATAGACTTAGCTATAGCTATATGAGGGCTTTTGGGATAAAGGAGCTAAATTTAGTTAGTTTCCTGCTTGGACGCTATAGAAGAGTCACTAAATCATTGGGGAAAGAATCAGTGGGCAGATAAGTTCAAGTTAAATGTTTTAGCTACATTTCGAGGGAAGTAGTAATATATCAATGTCTTGGTTACCATACTTGTTTGCTGATTGATGATTTGTGATGTGCATTCGAACTTGAGATTACCAGTACATAGTTTGATACCTTTACTATCCTGAAGTTTTTGCTAGGGATGGTGATGGTGTTAGAGTATTTCATATCAGAATCCACACGTCACGTATCTGTGTAAAAAGTACTGGAAGAGGGTCTTTTGTGAACCGAGTGGCATGGTAGTCGGTTGAGTGCATTTGATTAATGTATGTGCAAACAAGGAATATGACTTTAGATATCAAAGAACTCAATAGTGTCCTCCAACAGAGCATAGAATAGTTAGTGCCTTGCAACCTAAATTTCAGGAAACCCTGTTTCTAAAGATTCCTTTATAAACTGTTTAATGGTAATGCTATATATGTCACCTGTTGATGACTTTTTGAATCGTGTAATAGCATACTCATCTAAACCTGATTTCATAGAGCGAGGCAACCTCACATTGAAATAATACATACTGAAAAATTATTTGGGTTTAATCTGAATAAAGTATACTGAAGTGATCATTTGCATGACTTTGTGAGAGCCCAATTGTCTTTTGTCTGAAATAGTAAGGCAAAGATTGATTGATGAAACAGATAAAAGAAACCATTGTGCTCGACTTGCTAGTTAGATGATCCAGTTTCGCTTGAATAACCTGTGGAAGCTAGATCAAACTTTTGAGATTTCATCTTCCAATGCCGTATTATCTGTGCAGCGTCGACAGCATGTCTGGTTCAGTGTCATCATCTTGTCGTGACTCATTATTGCTTAACAAAGATATGGAGAATGCTTTATTTGCAGGATTTAATCCCCATGGGTTCATTTCATATATTAGATTTGGGGTGTCGCATTTCAATTATCACTAGTTTAGTTGGACAACACACACACACAGAGATATGCATGCATACACATACACAACAAGGATGTGCCACCGAAATGTGGGAAAGCATGTGACTCCTATTAGTGCAGTTGTCTGTCGCTGGCTCAACTGGAGCCATGTCATTCCCTCGTTCTATCTTTTGTTGATTGCAGCTGACATTTGTGATGTACCACAATTTATTGAGAAATCTCCTTCATGTGTAGGCTGGGGTCAAGGTAGAGGAAACTGCCAAGTATTTGCAGATATACCGGAGCAGAGAAGTCGGTCAATCATATGTAACTTCTGTTTGGACAACATTAGTTGCCACGGCTCATGCGCTATACCTCATGATTCAACTTCGACCAGAAGTGGTAATGTCAAGTATAAAGTTTAATTTTCTTCTTGTTTTTGTAAGTTATAAAATTTGTTCTGCATATTTGATGGATAAAGTTTACATTGGAAGTGCAGATCCTCTGTAATGGCCCCGGGACGTGCATTCCACTCTGTGCAATTGCCTTCTTATTCAAGGTCTGGAATTTCACTCTGTCAGTGCTTTCTTTTTTCCGAATATGTTGAGAATTCATTATCGATCGGATTGGAGCTGAAAGACAGCAATGGAAACCGTGGCAGGTTCTGGGAATCAGATGGTCATCTATATTTTACATGGAGAGCATAGCGAGAGTGAAAAGACTGTCTCTAAGTGGATTGCTTCTCTACAAATTACGAGTAGCCGATCAGTTTTTCGTGCAATGGCCACAGCTGCAGAGAAAATACCCTCGGGCTGAGTATGTTGGTTGTCTTATGTAGGTGATTAAGATGTCTCTTACACAGAGAGAGAATCGTATGTCTAATTCGAAGCAACAGTTATGAGGCGGCAGCAGCATAAATACAGACTTATTAGCAGTATTCCTGCTCCAGAATAAGTTAGGCTGAATATAATTCATCAGAAGGTGCACAGCAAGCATATTTGGTAGTTCCTGTTTCCAAGAGGATGTATTCGGCTCTACTCGAGTATGTCATTAGAAGAGGATATGGTAATTATCTGAGCAGTGTAAAGGCTGAAGTACATAGTCAATGGTATGTTGTGTTGATGTAGTGAACATTGTGCCTCTGTATTCATTTGAATTTTGCATGTTGGTCTAGAGGCAAAAATGGTGTTTGGGTAGCATTTGTTCAAATCTGACCCGAATCCGATCTTTGTGATTCCAACCCTCATTATCACATTTTTTATCAGATCAGTTTTTAAGCAATACAAATTAAGAAAATTACTTTTCGAAATTTCGATTTTTCATGAAAAAATTGAGCTTAAGAAAATTAACAAATTGGTCGGGGTTGAGATGGATTTATTTTGCAATTCGTCCTAGTAGAAAATCAAAACTAAGGAAACTAGTGGGTGATTGACCAATATATCCAGCAGTCCGGATAAAAAAAAGATGCAAGCTGTTCTATGAATTTCATCCAATGTTGGTCCTCAAACGAGTCCTTGCTTCATTTTTTTTTTGGTCGGATGATCGAGTTGCAATGTAGATCCGCTATCACCCAAATTCAACTTGAGAACACTGTTTAGGTAAATTAATATCTATACTCCTACTATCTTCACATATTTAGACATAAACATTAAAAAAAATTGTACATATAATTTATTTTTCATAAACAAATTAACCTTGGCATCTATTCATGTCTACAATTATTTTACAAAAAAATATTAACATAATAATATTGCTTCAAAAAGAGTAACTTTATCGATTTGTAGTAAACATATGGAACGAATCAAAGCCGAAATCATAATTTAATAATACCAATCACGTCGTAAACAATAAAAAAAATGACGAGAGATTATTCCGAAAAAAAAAAGAGAATCGGAAAATACAAGAATATCATTCAACATTAGCGGTGAGCGCAGCTTTCTTGAAATAGATTTCTTTTTCTTTTTTTCCCCTTTTTATTGGGCGATTTCCTGTATTTGAATCTTGGTTATCGAGAGAGAGACACGAAAGCATCCGGGGGCGTCGTGACGTCATCAGTATCCGTTGTAGACAAGACAGTTTTTTCCGTTTTTTTTCCGTTTTTTCGGGAATATAACATTGGTTTCCTCGTTTTCTCCTCGGACTCTTCCGAAAGAGAGAGAGAGAGAGAGAGAGAGCGTGGTTTGAATACGAGGTTAGGGTTTATCTTTGGAATGTCAATCACATCAGTCCTCTCTCTCTCTCTCTCCGTCTCGCTCTCCCTTTTTAGCCATGAACGTGTCTTCTTCGTTGATGGAGGATGCAGGCTCGCTTGAAGGTCGGCAGCGACGGCGTTGCGGATCGTCGGCATCTTCTCCCGCAGGTTTTCGGTCAGCGCTTTTACTTTCCCTGTTGAGCGATTTCAGTTCACGGGATAGGGTTCTTGACTTGTCTTGTTGTTGTTGGTCTTCTTGGGGTTCGTCAGTTCAGCTGGTGCCTTTTCTTGCCCTCGATTTCCCTGAATCTGACCGACCCCTCTTTTGTTTCATCCGTCGGTACAACGAGGAACAATCCCCATTAGTTTAGTGCTCTTCTTTTTATGGGGGGTCGATTTTGATTTCTCTTGTCTGCATATAGAAATTCTCGAGTTGCTTTTCTGCACGTTTGAGTTCGTCCAGTTCGAGTGGCATCTGTTTCTTTAAAACCTTTGCGACATCGGCTTTTGTCTTGGTTTGGAGTCGAGAGAAGAAAGAATATGGCGGAACGAAAGGTGGTGAACAAGTATTACCCCCCAGACTTCAACCCTTCCAAGCTGCGTAGGTTTGGGGGGAGGCCAAGAAATCAACAGATTAAGGTCCGGATGATGCTTCCGATGAGCATCCGATGCAACACCTGCGGGAATTACATCTACAAGGGGATAAAGTTCAATTCTAGGAAGGAGGTTGTTGTCAGTGAGATGTATTTGGGGATGCAGATATTCTGATTTTACTTCGAATGCACTAAGTGCTCTGCTGAGATCGCGATCAAAACCGATCCGCAGAATTCGGATTACATTGTGGAGTTAGGGGCGACAAGGAATTTCGAGCCCTGGCGTAAGCAGGATGAGGTGGCAGAGAATGAGAAGAGGAAGAGGGCGGCTGAAGAGACGGGCGACGCGATGAAGTGCTTGGAGAATAAGGCGCTTGATACCAAGAGAGAGATGGATGTCCTGGCCTCTCTCGATGAGATGATATCAATGAAGTCGAGACGTGCAAATGTGGAGGTAGATGCAATGCTGGAGGTTCTAAAATGCACTTCTGCTGCAAAGGAAAAGAAGCTAGAGGAAGACGATGAAGCCCTTCTCAAATCAATTGTATTCCGTACATCCAAAGATTTTGTCCGTAAGATCAAAGATGAAGATTCTGAGGATGAGGAAGATTTGACTCGACCAGTAAACAGTACTCTCAAGAAGAGAAGACTTAGTGAGGAATTTTTTGACAAGCCAACAGATTCATTGACAAAAGCTACTTCCTTGGTGCCAATTGTCGTGGTAAAGAAAGCTGCTCCAATCTACAACATTAGCGCTACAATTGTAAAGGCTAAAGAAGATGCAGCAGATAAGAATAGTGGTCTGAGCTCAGTACTTCAAAACTATGAAAGTAGTGATGCTGATGATGATTGAAGTATGGTTTAGTTGCACATGGTATTATTCATTTTCTCGTTCTATTAGCAGAAATTTTTTTGATTCTATCTCGATTGTAATTTCTGACTGAAGGGAAATGCATGCGAAGTATTTTTTGATGGAAATTTTTTTTTGTCCAATGCAAAAGCTTTAGCTGACAGTCCTCCTCACATGTAGCCAGGACTTAGGGCTAATTGGGGAAGCAAATAGGGGGTTTGGAAAGATTTAAATTCTCTCTCATACCATATAGAAAGGCAAAGATTGATTAATCATCTTTACGAGAGTCCAATCATCTTTAGTGGGAAGTAGTAAGGCAAAGATTGATTAATGAACAAGATAAAGAAAACATTATGCTCGACTTGCTAGTTTAATAGTGCTAAATCCAGTTTCTCTTGAATAACCTTTGGAAACTAGAACAAACTTTTGAGATTTCATCTTCCATTTTGTTCTATTGTATCTGCAGGGTCTATAGCATGTCTGGCTCAGTGTCATCATCTTTATGACATGACTGATTATTGCTTAACACAAACATGAAAGAATACTTCTTTTGCAGGATTCATCCCTCCATGAATTCATTTTTTGTCATTGATTTGGGGTGTCAATTTCAGTTATCACTAGTTTAGTTGGACAAAACACGCACGTGCATGCGCGCTCGTGCAGATATGCACACAAAGACACACATACCCAACAAGCATGTGATCCTTATTGTATGAAAGCATGTGGCTCCCATTAGTGCAGTCGTCTTTTGCTGGCTCAGCCAGAGCCATGTCATTCCCTTGTTCTATCTTTTGTTGATTGCAGCTGACATTTGTTATATCCCACACACTTTATCGATAAATCTCCTGCATGTGTAGGCTGGTGTCAAGGTAGGGGAAACTGCAAAGTATTTGCAGATATGCTGCAGCAGAGAAGTCGGTCAATCGTATGTAACTTCTGTTTGGACAACTTTAGCTGCCACAGGTTGCCACAGCTGATGCACTATACCTCATAATTCAACTCAGACCAGAAGTGGTAATTTCTTCCTATAAAGTTTAATCTTTTTCTTGTTTTTGTCGGTTATAAAATTTGCTTTGCGTACTTTATGATGATGATAACATCGGAAGTGAAAGATCCTCTGTAATGGCCCTGGAACGTGCATTCCGCTGTGCAATTGCCTTCTTATTCAATATTTGGTATTCCCCTCTCTGTCAGTGCTTTCCTTTTTGGAATTATATAGAGGATTTCATTCTTGATCTATTTGACATGAGAACTGAAAGACAGATGGAAACTGTGGCAGGTTCTGGGAATCAGATGGTCGTCTATATTTTACATGGATATCATAGCTAGAGTGAGAAGACTGTCTCTAAGTGGATTGCTTCTCTGCAAACTAAGAGGAGCTGATCAGTTTTTCGTACAATAGCCACAGCTGCGGAGAAAATACCCTCAGGCTGAGTATGTCAGTTGTTGTATGTAGGCAATTAAGATTCATGTCTGACACGCAGAGAATCACATGTTTGATTGAAAGCAACAGTTATGAGGCGGTGGCGGCATATAAGTACACATTCAATTTGAGATTTTAATTGGGCCAAGACCTTCCTGTTTCTGGAATAGGAATGTAGAATGAGGTCTATAGGTCTCAATAGAGCATTGGCATTGGTAGCGGTTGGGCTACTATACCCTCGGGAGGAGAGTATTTGCAGATATACTGGAGCAGAGAAGTCGGTCAATCACATTTAACTTCTCTTTAGATGACTATAGTTGCGACGGCTCATGCACTGTACCTCACGATTCAACTCAGACCGGAAGTGGTAATGTGTTCCTATAAAGTTTAATTAGTTTCTTGTTTCTGTTAGTTATAAAATTCGCTTTGTGTACTTGACAATAACATTAACATTGGAAGTGCAGATCCTCTGTAACGGCCCTGCAATGTGCATTCCACTCTGTGCTATTGCTGCCTTATTCAAGGTTTTGAATTCTCCTCTGTGTCAGTGCTTTCTTTTTCAGAATTATGTCGAGGAATTCATGTTATTCATCTGTTTGTCATGAGAACTGAAAGACAGCAATGGAAACAGTGGCAGGTTTTCGGAATCAGATGGTCATGTATATTTTATGTGGAGAGCATAGCTAGAGTGAGAAGATTCTCTGTAAGTGGATTTCTTCTCTACAAACCAAGAGTAGCTGATCAGTTTTCGGTGCAGTGGCCACAGCTGCGGAGAATAATGTGTTTAATTTAAAGCTACACTTATGAGGCGGCGGCGGCGGCATAAATGCAGACTGTTCCTGTTAAGGAATAAGGTGGGCTGGATAGATTTTGGCGAAAGGTGCGCGCATCAAATGACGCATTCTTGCCTTCAAGACGATGTGCTCAGCAGGCTCGAATACATCATTAGAAGAGGATATCCGAACAGCATAAAGGCTGTAAGTGCATATTATCGATATGTGGCGTCGAGATGGTGAGAATCGTGCCTCTGTATATGTTTTTTTGCGTGCCGTTTTCGGGGGAAACAATGGTGTTTGGGTAGCATTCGTTCGAATCCAATCCGAATCCGATTTTTGTGATTCCTTCATCGTTCCAATATCCATAGAGTGTTGTATTCCTAAGTCTAACCTTATTAACGAGTGTTTACGCCATTTTTTCTGCTAGAAATGGAATCTGTTGATTACTTCGATTTTAGAAAACTATTGGATCGTTCGCAAATACCTCGTCTTCTTGCCTATTTGCTTCACTTCTCGGATCTCAAGCATAATCCATTAGCCTTTAACATGGTAGAGAGTTTTTGTTTGAAATTATTTATAACATGAAAAGTTTGGGGTAAATACGGTACGAGGGCACTAGTTTATGATTTTTTGTGACATGAAAATTAGTTTGAGATAGATGTGACACGGGTGTACAATTTAAGAGTTTTGATGGTATTAACATTTCTATTTTTCTTTACCACCCGCCTGAGTGGCGCTGCTGGAGCGCGCACTCTTCCTCTCACAAAAGGTTGAGTGTTCGAATCCCGGGTGCCGCAGGGTGACTTAACCGGTGCACGTGTGTGGTGGCTAGCACGTGTCGCCCCCAGGGTTTACCTCCCGGCTGTCGGCCGTGCGGGAGTTCCCTAGGTCATAAAAAAAAAAAAACATTTCTGTTTTTCTTTTATATATATATATTCGTATTTCCTCTTTCTTTGCTCGAATTCTTTAGCGAGTGACAGAAATCAACCAAGTCATTGGGCTAGTTTGGTATGAGGTTCGAGATTTTATTCTTATCTAAAAGAGAGCTTGGGAATCTTATATTTTGTTCATGAATAATTGATGGTCAAGATGATATTGACTACTCATTTATATTATTGCTAAAAATAGGAAGTGGCGAGAAAATAATTTTTTTCAATCGTATTTCTTGAAAATCTGCCATAGAACTGAACAATTTGATCGGCATATTCAAATAGTTAATCAACATCATCCCAATCATTAATTATCTATTGATTCGTAGCTTCTTTTGTTAATAGTGCGAACCTATTACTAAATAGGGTTTAAGTATGAAATTTGGGATTTTTAGGATGTTAATTATCAATTATCGCCGGCGAAGTTTGATTTGTGCTTCGGCAGAGAGAATAGAAAACTGCATGCATGCGGTCATCACGTTACCAACTCCCCAACTTAATCTTTCTTCCCTTCTTTTACCACCTTATTCATCAACTTTCTCTATTTTGTTTTAGGGCTAATTTAAAAAAGAAAAAACGTCAATTTTACCTCGAGTGACAATTCTGATCCGAATTTTTGTTTGTCTCGCTAAAAATCACTGGGTTTAACTCGAGTCCCAAATCTGACCCTCGTTAACCAAAGCTTGACATCTTATAGATTGTTATAAACACTTTGGTAATCTCCTTTACTACTTCCCAACAAAATCTATTTATTAATGTTCATAACTAGAACCCGATATATTAAATGAGATAAATTGATTAATGTCCATGCGACGTAGACTTCAAAGTTCTAGGGGAAGGGCATGGGCTTGTTTATAACTTGGTAGATCTCGTCCATGGCATTTCTCGACGAGTGATGGTCCACAACTTCGGATTACGACGAATCGGTGGAGGCTAATCGGAAAAATTCAATTAGGAGATCTTTTTTACTTGCCAGTGAAGTGTAGGAAACCATGGACAATTTCACTGTTATTTTTCAAGCTATAACTTGGAAAAGAAGATAATAAATAGTACTTTAAATCCAGCTAGCAAGCGATGTAGATTTATTACCAAGGTGGAATAATCACGTTGGACAATCAACGATTCCAAGTCAATTGGGCCACATTTGAGATTTAAGTGAAAGTTGGTGATTTTTCATGAGACAAAAAAATTTAGATCAAAATTGTCACTCAAGATAAGGTTAGCACTTTTTTTTGGAATTAAGTGTTATCTTTTATAACTTCTGCTGCACAAATAATCATATGCATGGTACATGAACATAATGTTTTTTCATCACGAGTTTATTCTATTACCATTAAAGAAAATTGTACATTGCAGCAACAAGCGATAATTATGACTTGGACCGATCGATCCCGATCGAGTTAATTGAACAAAACAATTAAGTGACCAAAAAACAAACGATGAGTCGCTATTCAAAATCAAACACAAGGTTGAATACCTAATCTATCAGCGACCATCTTCATCAAATTCTCCAGCGAATCCACATAATGCTCCAACTCATCCGCTCCAATGCCATCACCAACGTTCTCATCCCACCACATCTGACCAGAACAATTCCCGGCAGCTCTTCCCTCTCCGGCTTCGGCCTCGACCCTTTTTGCCTCTTCGAGCTTCGACACCGAGTCTTGTAATTGCCTCTTGTGCTCGTCAAGAGCGTGGCTCGGAGCAGCCGCCGCCTTGCTCGCTCGGGTGCCAGCTCCCCCGGAGATGTAGCGTTCGATGACGGCATCGGCAGACGGGTGGCCGAAGACGAAGGGGTTGCCGTGGGGCGAGTAGGCGATGATCACCACCTCGGCGCCGCACAGGATGACGAGCTCGCTCGCCTTCCGGAACATGCCCTGGTGGCGCTTGGAGAACGTGACCTCGCGCGCGGCTTTGTTCTCGATGATCTTGCATTCAGTTCGACGGTGACCTAGGGTTTGCTTCTTTGCCTCCGCCATGGCCTTGAGTCTTTGGCTAACTCTCTCACGATACCGATAGCTTTGGTTTTTGCTTTTGGGGTTTATGGAGTGAGAAGTATTGTTGAGATTGAAAGCATGAGTCGAGAAAAACATAGAGAAAAGCTCATGGTGTATTTATAGCGTGATTTGTCCTAACAAGTGTCTAAAATACTTCCTAATAACAAAAGTATCAATTTCCCAAACTGGGATCACACGTATATCTAAAATTTTAACGTTTCCTTATTTGTATGAACTTACGTGATTTATTGATTCTTCGGAATATATCTTGATTTAGAGCGCGATTTCTATTTAGAAGGGTATGGAGACACTTGTTAAGCAGTTAATATAAAGAAAACTTTTTAGTTTCAAAAGGGAAAAAACCACCAAAAACCCCAAACTTTGTCACATGTGACACATTTACCATGAACTTTTTTTTGTGACACCAATAACCCCAAACTATGCTATTTGTGACACATTTACCCCAATGTACTTTAGTCCATGGGCATTTTCGTCTTTTTTGCTTTTTCTTTTTTTTTTCCCCTTTTTTTTTCCTTTCTGGCGAGGGGGGCTCTCGCCGGCACTGGATCTGGCGAGGGCCGCCCTCGCCGGCGTTGGGTGAGGGCTGCCTCGCCCAGGCGAGGGAGGGCGGCCCTCGCTTGCCCAGGCGAGGCGGCCCTCGTCGGCGTCGAGCGAGGGCGGCCCTCGCCAGATCCGGCGAGGGTCACCCTCGCCTGAGTCGGGCGAGGGCCGCCCTCCCTCGCCTGGGCGAGGCGGCCCTCGCCAGATCCGGCGCCGATGAGAGCCCCCCTTGTCGGAAAGGAAAAAAAAGGGGAAAAAAAAAAGAAAAAACAAAAAAGACGAAAAATGCCAATGGACTAAAGTACATTGGGGTAAATGTGTCACAAATAGCATAGTTTGGGGTTTTTGGTGTCACAAAAAAAAGTTCAGGGTAAATGTGTCACATGTGACAAAGTTTGGGGTTTTTGGTGGTTTTTTCCCTTTTTTTTATTAAGTATGTTTTATAATTGTCGGAAAACAATGGTTAGCAGTATTCACGTCAGATATGTAAGTTGTTATTAGGACAGCATTCAATGATTGGAAGAGATTGTCTATGACATGTTGACTTGTTAAGACTTGTTAAATCTTATTTTGCATCTATGCTTATACTAGTGAATTGTTGGACTTGGATAATATTGTCGGATCTCCATGATGAGTCATCTTGATCTGGCTCAACTATTCAGATAATTAATCGAGTAAGATAGTTTTTAGCAAAAAAAAAAAAATAGAGTAAGACAGTTGTTATGTTGAAAATATATATATAAAAAAGATAGTTGTTATTTTATTTTTGGAGTCCACTTGGACATATTTGATTGGGTTATCTTTTAAATTTTCTACACGTCATAAAATTGATGACCTAGACAACATCATCCAAAAATCCACGTAAATTATTTATTATCTTTATATTATAAATATTATTAACTAATTTAGAAAATTTTGGATGTCACAAATAAGGGATAAAGACAACACAAGTGTCATAACTTTCGTACGGCACTCATTTGAGTGTCATAACTTTTTTTTTTCGATCGCTTGGGTGCCTATTCCGGGAATTGTCCCACGTGGCATTTTAAATTAAATTTTTACCGCGACGTGGCTTTTTTTAAAGAAATTTAAGTCCAACTTGGCTGCATTGGCTGAAATTTAAGAAATCGCAGAGAAATAAGGTGACGGAGATGCCACATTGGCTGCATTAGTGGAAAATCACCAGCATCTAGCCAATACCGCTTTTTATTATGAGTTAATACCACGAAAAACCCTAAACCGGTACACTCGTGATAAATTTACCTCGAACTAATATTTTTATCACCAAAAATCCCAAATTGGTACGCTTGTAACAAATTTACCCTCTGTTAGTTTCCGTTAAATTTTATCGTCAAATTGCTGGGTTGAATGACACGTGGTGATTGATTGGTGTTCCCATTTGGGGTTTTACCCCTCTGTTTGTCATATGTTTACCAATTTGTGATTTTTCGTCGTATTAATCCAATTTAACGAAGGGTAAATTTGTCACAAGTGTACCAGTTTAGAGTTTTTGATGGTAAAAAAATTAATTTGGGAAAAATTTGGCACATGCGTACTAGTTTAAGGTTTTTGGTAGTCCAAAAATTAGTTCGGGGTAAATTTGAGTTTGGAGTTTTTCGTGGTATTAATCCTTTTATTATATTATTTTTCCCTCTATTTTGCCGACTCATCTTGTTTCCAGTTCAGCCCTCTTTCTGATTTTCTTTGACTGCTCCCTCCATCAATTCACGTTTTCCCCCTTTTAAAACTCTTCGCCTGAGCATCTCCTCCGAAAATTTTGCCGAGTTCACGGTTTTCGCTTGCAAAAAACCCCTCCACCGAATCTACTCATTATTTTTTGGGTTAATACAACGAAAAATCATAAACTGGTACACTTGTGACAAATTTACCATCCGTTAATTTTAGTTAAATTTTACTATCAAAATTGTTGAGTTGGATTACTCGTGGCAGTTGACGAGTGCACCAATTTGGGGTTTTACTCTATGTTTGTCACATATGTACCATTTTGTGATTTTTCGTGGTATTAATCTAATTTAACAAAAACTAACTGATGGATAATTGTCTCAAATGTACCGATTTGGGATTTTTGGTGGTCAAAAAATTAGATTGTGATAAATTTATCACGGATAAATAAATTTGGTGTTTTTGGTGGTATTAACCCTTCTTTTTTTAAATTTTGATTCTCGTGTGTATTCTCTTCGTCAATTGTACACTAATGTTGACCGACTAAGCTCCATTGCTCAACCATGGAGAAGAACAGAGAGAAATAGAGAATTAATCTGCTCCCTTTTTTTTTGGTCTTTTTTTATATTTCTTTATCAATAGGGCCAAAACAACGTCGTTGCATTTAGTTTTTATTGATTTGATTATTTTTGGCCAGCCACGTCAGCCTATTTATAATAAATTAATGCCACGTTGGATTTTCAAACCGCACAAATCGCCAATGGCACTCTAGTCAACGATTTAAAAAAAAATTTGGCACTCCAGTGAGCACCGTATGAAAATTATAGAGTTTGTGCTGTTCTTATCCCCGCAGACTGTGATGATGGGCAGCCAAGGTGCAGCAGTCGAGTATGGAGGTGGCTAAGGGAGGGAGGAAGAAAAGAGAGAGAGAGAGAGATTAGGGTTAGGTGCCATTTGTATTGGATATGGTGAGGTTTAGAATATGTTAGGTTGTGTTGGGATGAGTATGGGTATGGGATGGATCTCGGATTGGATATGGATTGTTAAGATTGGAGTACATATACGTTAAACGTATGAATTTGGATGAGGCTCGTTTTACAATCTAAATCCGATTTGCCCCACTCATTTGACAGACCTTACGGGGATCAGTCCGTATGTGTCAATTGTTTGATGGGACTTACTTCTTTATCATTGACCTTTTCCTTTTCAGAAAGCTTGGAAACGAAACGAAACAAAACAGAGATTCTTTTTTCCTTTGAAATGCACATTTACGTTGTTTAGCAACTCAATCCATCTGACGACAAACAAACAAGAACTAGAATACTCTTTAAACAACAACAACACGTATAGTAGACCATTCGCCACGAAGCTTCACATAGCAAAAAGAAAAAAAAGGGGAATTGAAAAGAATAACAGGAGATAAATAAATCCATAACCTTCCGGCGAGAAGGAAGGCAGCTTTTCATCATTAGCCAACTATGTGTTGGCAAGAAAACACCTGCAAAATGCCAATAGTACAACATAAATGAAGACTTAAATCATAACTTTGAAGCATCTCACTATGGAGATGAGATGAACCCACGAGACCATGCAACTTCTATGGTCTGTAGATACTTCTATTTAATAGAACTTCAGAGCTTCAAACCAGAACCGCGCAACTTCTCTTCCATGACACCGTCAATTTTCTCCCCCATCTCAGCACTCATGTGATTCACCCAATCTCCAACCTCGCCTCTCCTGAAGAACAACTTGTTCTCTTGTCCAGTCGACAGCTTCCCGCTCTTGTTCACCTCCAATGCGCTCAAATTGTCGAAGCTACACATCCTCAGTATTCCCGCCACAGTCCCGTCTCTCAGTTCTTCTTCGCTAAATGGACATCCCATGAAATCGGCCAACCTCCACACGTGAGAATGCGGGCCTTCTTTCATCTCCTCGTACATCATGAACAACACCTTCTCGGGCATCTCCGAGCTCGTCCTGTGGTAACCCAGCACATGGTCCCAGTAAGGCCCGTAAAAGCTCATCCCTCGACAGAAGTTGTCAAGGCAATCCGGGAGAGGAATCTGGCCCTTCTCGGGACTCAGCTTGTCGAAGAAGTGCCACAGCGAGACGAAGGTGTCCTTAGGGTTCCTACACAGGTAAACCAGCTTGCACTCGGAGTCCCTCACCGACTGTGGAAGCGAGGAATAAGGCAAGTGGGTGGCGAAGAGCCACGGGGAGGCGAAAGCAGCAAAATCGGGATTTTCTTGCTCGACACAGAGCTCCAAGAAGGGCATGAGGTCGTGGGGGTTTTGGGTTAGGAGAGGGTGGCATTGTTGTGAGTCGGACTTGGAGTACTTGGCACAGTTCAAGAGAGCGAAAAGAATGGCCTTTAGCCAGGTGGTGTCAGATTTCGGGTTGCTGACTAGGAGGATGTCAGAGGTGTGAGCTTGGAAGTGGTTTTGGCAAGCGGGGATGCCGCTCAAGAGCGGAGACGGGAACCAGAAGCCCTGACATGGGCAGAGAGAGGCCGCGACCCAGTCTTCTTCTGAAGGGAGAGAGGAGAGCAAGTCTTTGCATGCTTGCGACATGCCATTGTCTCGCAAGTACTTTGCACGGGAAGGAGGACGAGTTTGAGAGCCTTGCATGGTGGTCATGGTGGTGGTGGTGGTGGTGGTGGTGCATGAGAAGGAGTTGGAGAGTGGGAGTGGACGATTATTCTCGCTAGCTAGCTATGAGGCTCGGTTAGGAAAGGGTTATTTGATGTTTAGGGGCACAATGGCATTAAATAGTCAGGATGGTATCAGATGATGATTATTCAGTGTTATTTTGGGGAATTTAAAAGAATCTGTCATCTGAAATAATCAGTCTGATATTAGTATTCTTTATGGTTTGAAGGTTTCTTTTTGTAGCGTTCTTCTTCATCATTGGAATTCTTTACCGTTTTGCAACAATAGGTGCTACTTGATCGTCATTTTCTTGAAAAAATTGGAGATTGTGGGGGGACGGAGACTCCATATTGACCAGGGCCATCACTCTTTTGTCCTCTTTTACTTAACTTGACTTTCGCAGCTTCTTATGCATTAATCGGCACGAAACTCATGAGCTTTAATACATTGACAAATGTAACCGTTTCGTTCTCTTAACAAAGAGGATTTTTCAATGATCCTTTTTTGTTTCAAAACAGTAATCTTAGTTGTTTCAAACCCTTTGCTCTACCCTCTCTCGGATTGTAGAGCTTTCTTTCTACCCTTTGTTGGTAGTTCAATCCTAAACCCTACGTCACCTTCAACCCTAATGGCATTCTTCTACTCCCTCCTAAAACCCTTTATGTGTGTAAACCCTCGTGGACCTCTTCAACATTCTCTTTATTGAGTTTGGCTTGAGGTGGTCTCGTTGGCTTCTTTTGAAACTACTTAATGTGGGCTATGGTCATCCCTCTAATCCGATTATTCACTAAAATTGCTGATGGATTATTTTCCCCAAGGCATGCTACTTCCCAGTTAGTGTCACACCCCGAATCCTATGAGAATAGGGGAATGACGTGGGCATACTTCTACCTGAAGGACATAACCTCAAATATAACCAACAATATTAGAGTTTCTATGATTGATCAAAAGAATATTTACACTTCCAACAAATGTCAACAGATACATATACTACTCCCTCAAACCATACACAAAATCCAACCAAAGTTTTATGACGCCCTTTTGCTAAAGATTCCTTCGTAAACTGGTTTATGGTAACTGCTAACTATGTTGCCTTTTTGACTCTTGTAATAACATGCTCCTATCTAAGCCTGACTTCACGGAGCGAGGCAACCTCACATTGAAATAATCCCTACCAACTAATTTTCTGGATTCAGTCTGATAAAATTATACTGAAGTGATCATTTGCATGACTGTGCGAGAGTCCAATCATCTTTAGGGGGGGGGGGTAGGGAAAAAATTAATAAGGAAAAAAAAAAAAAAAAAATATGGTCGACTTTTTGTTGGGGGGAGAGAGAATCCAGTTTCCTGAAACAACCTTAGGAAACTAGAAAAACTTTTGAGATTTCATCTTCCATTTTGTTCTATTGTATGTGCAGGTCTATAGCATGTGTGGCTCAGTGCCATCATCTTCCTGTCATGACTCATCATTGCTTAACAAGAACATGAAGAATACTTCTTTTGCAGGATTTAATCTTCCATGGTTTCATTTTATATGATAGATTTGGGTGTCAATTACAGCTATCACTCGTATAGTTGGAAAACACACACACACACACATACAGAACAAGCATGTGATCCTAAATGTAAGAAAGCATGTGGCTCCCATTAGTGCAGTCGTGTGCTGCTGGCTTAGCGGGAGCCATGTCAATCCCTCATTCTATCTTTTGTTGATTGTAGCTGACATTTGTAATATATCACACAATTTATTGAGAAATCTCCTCCATGTGCAGGCTGGGGTCAAGGTGGGGGAAACTGCAAAGTAATTGTAGATATACCTTAGCAGAGAAGTCGATCAATCTTATGTAACTTCCGTTTGGACAACTTTAGTCGCCACAGCTCATGCGCTATACCTCATTATTCAACTTAGACCCGAAGTGGTAATTTCTTCCTATAAAGTTTAATTTTTTCTTTGTTTTTGTTGGTTATAAAATTTGCTTTGCGAACTTCACGATAACGTTAACATTGGAGGTGCAGATCCTCTGTAATGGCCCTGGAATGTGCATTCCAATCTGTGTACTGCCTTCTTATACAAGGTTTGAAATTCCACTTTCTGTTAGTGATTTCTCTCTCTCTTGGAATTATGTTGAGGAATTCATTCTTGATCTGTTTGTCATGAGAACTGAAAGACAGCAATGGAAGCTTTGGCAGGTTCGGGAATCAGATGGTCATCTATGTTTTACGTGGAGAGCATAGCTAGAGTTAGAAGACCGTCTCTAAGTGGATTGCTTCTCTACAAATTAAGAGTAGCTGATCAGTTTTTCGTGCAATGGCCACAGCTGCGGAGAAAATACCCCCGGGCTGAGTACGTCGGTCGTCTTATGTAGTTGTTTAATATCGTTGTGTCTTGCACACGGAGAGCATCATATATTCAATAAGAGCAACTATCATGAGGCGGCCGAGGCATAAATGCACAGACTTATTAACAGTGTTCCTGCCAAGGAATAAGGTGGGCTGAATAGATTTCATCGGAAGGTACGCAGCAAATTATGCACCTGGTAGTTCTTGCTTTCGAGAGGCTGGATTCGGCTCAGCTTGAGTAAGTCATTAGAAAAGGATATGGTGGTTATCCGAACACCGTAAAGGCTACAAGTACATAATTATTGGATATGTTGTGTTGATGTGGTGAACGTTGTGCCTCTGTATTTGTTTTGATTTCGCATTCCGGGTGTTTGGGAAGCATTTGTGTAGATTCGATCCAAATCTGATCTTTGTGATTCCTTCCCTCATTCTTTAGATGATTTCATAATCTAATATGATAAGCAGAATTCGGGTATGAACAAGAACTTCGTGGGTAATGATTTTGGCGACTATTTACCATCTGCTGGACAGTATCCATTTGTTGATGGCAGATATGTTGTAAAGGGACATCAATGTATATGTTATTGCCTGATTATCTGTAAATTCCAGAGGTTTCTTGTTCGTTTCCGGACATAAAGCCATGAAACTTCACCAAGTTAAATAAATATAGTATTTGAAAGTTGATGGCTTGAAAATTTAAAGGACATTAAAAAACTAGGGCTTGATGAAAATTATGACCATAATGTTGCTTCAAAAAACTAGGGTTTAAATACATTCTTCAACAATTTAACTTGGCGAAGTTTCAAGGCTTTATGTGTAGAATGATTTGACATAAAATTATGAACATAATCAGAAACAGCAATTTCATCGATCTATAATTCTTTTGATCTGTCTTTAAATATATGCAACGACTCAAAGTCGAAATCCTAATTTGATACTAGCCAAAGATCTTGAGAGATTATTTGAAGGAAAGAAAGAGCGTAAACGAATTTGATCGATTCATATCTGTCAACAGGAAATACAAGAATTCATTCAACACGATTTCCCCTTCGCCATTATGCCTCATCTCCGGAAACTTCAGCCCCAAGTTTAAAGGCAACAAGACTATGCAAAACCAAAGAGAAGAAGAAATTTACGGAGGAATTTAATAGAATCCCAAATTATTTGAACTAAGAAAGTGGTTTCTATCAAGACCCCATTAACAAGAATACTGCAGTTCAGCGAGAAACGCGGTATCCAAGTCCATGCTTATGCTCATGTCCGTCGCCAGCAATCGGCTGTAGAAACCCAAATCACCGCACTGTTCGACTCTATCGGCGACCAACTTCCTCAAAGCCTCCAGCGACGCCACGTACAGCTCCAGCTCTTCCTCCTCCATCCGGTCCGCGACCGCCTCGTCCCACCACCGATTCCTCTTCCCGGCCTCCGCCGCGATCCTCTCCGCCTCTCTCTTGGCCTCCTCGAGCTTCGCGGCCGCGTCCTCGTACCGCTCCCTGTGCGCCGCCCCCGCCGCCGCCTCGGCCGCGGCGGGCCCGGCCGCCCCGCCCGAGAGGTAGCGGTCGATGAGGGCGTCGGGGGTGGACGGGTGGGCGAAGGCGAAGGGGTTGCCGTGGGGCGAGTAGGCGATGACGGCGACCTCCGCCCCGCAGAGGACGGAGAGCTCGGCCGCCTTGCGGAACAGGCCCTGGTGGCGCTTGGAGAAGGTGACCTCCCGCGCGCTCTCGTCCTCGATGAGCCCGCACTCGACCCGCGGGCGCTTCGGCCCTCTCTTCGCCTCCTCCATCGCGGGCGACCACCGCGTTTCTCTAGGGTGTTTTACACTCTTCTTGGAGCGAGATTGCGGAGAGAAAGAGAGAGATGAAGAGCAGAAAGAGGAAGAGGAAGAGGAAGAAGAAGGGGAGAAGAGGAGAGACTCTCTCTTGAACTGGGCTTATGTCTGCGCAAGAACACGCGGTGAGCGCAGCTTTCTTGAAATAGATACGGAGGCATACACGCGTCGTGACGTCATCAAGAATAGGCAGATGTTTTTTTTTTATATTTTTCGGAGATATTCTTGTTTCCTTCTTCTTTCCTCGGAATCTCTAGAGAGAGAGAGAGAGCGTTAAGATTCTGTTTAACCGTCTTTTCTTCTTGTCCGCACGTGGCGACGAGCGTCGAACTGGACGGAAGGTGCAAGATGAGAAAGGACGGAGGAGAGCTCTCGAGAACTGCTTGTGTCTGCGCAAGTTTTCTTGAAATTGATTTTCTTTTTCTTTTTCTTTTTCTATTTCTCTTTTTTTCCTTTTTTTTTTTGGGGGGGGGTGAATTCTTGAAATCGGATATTAGTTCTTGAGAGAGAGAGAGATTGTGAAGATATACGATGGTGGGCAGCCGTTTTTCTGTGTTTTTTTATCTGAAATAATTGCCCCAATATCATGAAATTTCTCGCAAGAAACCTCCAACTTTAGGTCATATCTCAATTTTACCCTAAATTTTTTTTGTCCTATAAAAAAATCCCAATTTTAAGTATAGTCTCAATACCTCACCCTCAGCTTTTTGGTCTCATAAAAAACCCTCAACTTTAGATTTAGTAACAATTATACCCTAAACTTTTTTTTTTGTCTGATAAAAAAATCCCAGCATCAGGTCCAATTTCAATTTCACTCTAATTTTTTTTTGTCTTATAAAAGATCACCGACTTTTATTCGAATCCTAAATCTGCTCTCCATTAACCCTACGTCAAAATTGCCCTTAGTGATTTTGCGCTCATCAATCTCTCATGCTTGGGAATGTTCCATCTCTCACGATCGGAGAGCTCGTGGTCGTTACGCTCGAACATCTTATGCTCTCAGTTGTCCACGAGAAATTTTGGATGGAGGGTTAATGGGGGTAGATTTGTGACTCAAGCAAAATTAAAGTTGTCGTTATTGTGACAGAGTATTATAGAGGGAAAGAGGTTGTACGTAGTGGCAAATACCGATACAAGTTCTTCCCTTATGAATCAAACATATTAATATCGGAAAGAGGTTGACCATAAGTTCTTTCCCTCCGTTAGCGGTGTTCCAAAAATGTTTGTGATTGTGTAAATAGCTCTACGGATTAATGGATCAGATCGAATTGCAAAATGGAAAGATTTGTACAAAGTAGATCTTTCGTCATCACTTTGCGAAAAATCGTTGGGTATGATGTGTCAGTTATAAAGGAAAGTCTCCAATCCCAAACTGTGATCACCCATAAATATATATCCAATATTCTAATGTTTCTTTATTTGTCTGAACTCTTGTAATTTTGTTGATTCTATGGAATATATTCTTAATCTAGAACAGTGATTTCTCCATTTAGAAGTGTTTCCAGAGTTTTATTAAGGAGTTAGAGGAAAGAAAGTTTTTAGTTTTTACCTGTTATTTTAAAAAATAAAAATATCTATTTTTAACTATGTTTAAGAAGCATGTGAAATAATAATTAACAGTGTCCTCATTAGGTATTTAAGTAGATAAGAGAACAATATTTAAAGATTGTAAGAGATTTTCTATGATTTACGAAAATAATTGGAACAATCATGTTTCCACAACGAGAGAGAGAGAGAGAGAGAGAGAGAGAGAGAGAGAGAGAGAGAGAGAGAGAGAGAGAGAGAGAGAGAGAGAGAGAGAGAGAGAGAGAGAGAGAGAGAGAGAGAGAGAGAGAGAGTTTTCGCATTTCTGTTTATATTATAAATACCCAAACTGGTATTATGGTGTTACAATGGATAAAATGGTAATTTTAATTATCGACATAATAATCATGTAAATTAAAATTATCTTTCATTGATTCTAAATTTAAATTGCTTTTATAATTTATATGTTCTAAAATAGGTCGAATTCTTGAATCCATGATCGTTGGAACCTGTCCTATATGAGAGATTAGGAGGAAAAAAAATTGCTCTTTGAAGTTTGATGTTCCTTGCATTGATTTCACCGTCCGTTTGGAGTATAGCCCGACGTGTGCTTGAGTTTTATTTTTTTTTTGGTCCTTAAGTCGTGCTTTTATTTTCAATTCCGTCCTCCAAACAACCCCTTTGTTTTCGTTCTATTAGCGGTAGTCGAACACTCTAGCGAAAAGAAACACGCAAGTGATTGTTTTTTTCTTCCTCCGAAGGAACGGCGCTCAAGTGATCGACTGAATGTTTTAATATAACTAAAATTTAGTTGTGATTAGGTTGTTTCGAAAATCAAAGTAAGCGTTTCAATGATATTTATGGTAGAGATAATTTATTTTTTAAATTATTTAGGTTTAGAACGATTAAAGTTAGGTGGAAGGAGGAGCTTTTAAGGATAGTTCCTTTGTTTTTCTTTTATTTTTCATGGCTTTTGGTTGGGCTCCCACAAGCCACCTTTCCTTCCAATTTAGTCAAAAGCATTTTAAGACCAATCCCTTAAACAACTAAACTAATCACCACTTGATCGGAAACCATCAAATGCTAATTCCGTGCAGCGCCACGGTTGTCGACGAACTTCCCATTCGCATCCGAAGCAGGAGGTGCTCATGCCTATAACGCCGGCTTTGGCGGCGATATGTCGAGCTCGATGATACATGGGTTCTTGGGATTGAAAAGGAAACTAAAACTCCGTTTATTTCATTAAAATCGATAATTTGAAAAGGCTTTCTTTATTTTAATTGTTTATATTGTTTACGAAAATCAGTTAATGAAAAATATTTTATTTTTTGACGGATATCATCGTTAGTAAACAGACAAACCTGAATCCAATTAATTTGTCGGTATGGATTGTTTCAATGTGAGGTTGCCCTAAACGCTACCAATGCCAATGCACTATTATGACCTACAAATGAATTCATTCAACATTCCCATTGCATAAGCAGGAAGGTCACTCGGCACAATCAAAATCTCAAATTGGATGTGAATCTTCATTTGCAAAATCCATGTTTTGAAGCATCTTTTGAAAGAACAATGGTGTTGATTGAATTGCCATATGAACTATAAAGGCAATGACAGAGAAGCATCATCAGCATAGACCAGGAAATGAAGTTGACATATCCTTAAAGCACAAGGTACTAGCACTTTACCACATCAATCAGAGAGTCCTTCATCACGGGAGCTTTTTGGAGACATATTGTCAGTGGCAGCCGCGATGTAGAATCTAGGTGCAGACATATCTTTCTGCAACACAGACAAGGGATTCAACATCTCGGCAGTGCGACCCCCCGGCAAAAGTCGATGCATATACATAGTATAACTACAATGAGTTCACAGGGAATGAAATCCAGAAAGAAGCTAACAACTAAAGCATTTACTAGCTAACCTGAGCCTAAAACAGTGAGGGTACTATAGGTTCTCTGAATTCGACACCTGGGTCTGGAGTACAATATGCGAATCAAGCATCAGAACTAGGGATCTCGGGTATGGGTACACTGCGTCTCACGTCTGGCGAAGAGATGTAAATGAAACTTATCTCCCTTTCCGCTCTCAGATCTTGGCAATGGATCCCATGCCATCACTTGGCCGAATCTTCCAACTTGCAGTCCAGGAAGAAAGCCAGCGCCTTACCTCTTTGGATTACAGCAAATGGATGGCCAGGATTCAAAGAAAGGCTCACGATCATCATTTCCCACGTCCGAATCTGACGGCTTCTATGAGGCCACGTTAGCACCCATCATCAAATCCAGTGGACCGCCTTCAGCCATGCCATTTCAGAAAGGGAATGGGCAAAATCAAAAAGGAAAAGGTAAATTATATTGTGATTATTGTAAACGCCCGCATCATACAATAGAAACTTGCTGGAAATTGCATGGGAGACCCGGAGAAAAAGGGAAGAAAGAAAAGGAAATCTCGGCCTATCAAGTCACAAGGAAATATACTGACAAAGGAAATCAAGAAATCACTAATGATCAGTACCAGCAAATCATGAAGGCCTTGAAATGGGAATTCCACCCATGTCACAAAAATTGGCACAGTCGACCTTACTCCTTCCATTAAACTCAAAAAATCCATGTTGATGTTTGGGGACCTTACCACACCGCACATCGTGATGGATCTCGTTTCTTTCTTACCATTGTGGATGATTTTTCGTGCCACATGGGTCCTCATGCAATCCAAGAGTCAAGTTCCTTCCAATTATTCATGAGCGTTCTTGCACCTACACTCCACAACAAAATGGAATTGTTGAATGTAAACATCGTCATCTCTTAGAAGTTGCGCTGAGCACCTCAAATTCAAGCTTCCATTCCGAGGAAAACTTTTGGGAGATTGTGTGGTCACGGCGGCTTACCGATCAATCGCATGCCTACTTTCAGATTCTCGGCGGGCGAACTCCTTTTGAGTTACTCTTTGGGAAGAAACTGATATCCATCATTTGAGAGTATTTGGTTGCTTATACTATGCAACTCTTGTTGGGCCTCGGGACAAAATGGGTCCCCGTGCCCGTCGATGCATCTTCATGGGTTATCCGACTATTCGAAAGGTTATTACGTCTTGGAACAATCAACGGGGAATTTCTTCGTAAGCAGGGATGTCGTATTCCATGAAAATATATTATATCTATGGACTCTGAGAGATATGTTTCATTTGATCGACTATCTTTGGAACATATGTGTTGCATTAGTCGTATCTCCGAGGAACGAACCATCTTCTTATAATGAAGCGAGTCAATGATCCACACCGGCGGAAAGCCATGGAAGCGAATTACATGCATTAATGGAGAATGAGACTTGGGATATTGTACTCCTACCACCACATCGAAAACCAATTGGTTGCAAATGGGTGTACAAAATAAAGTATAGAGCGGATGGATCCATTGAACGTTACAAGGCTCGTTTATTGGGATTTACACCAAATGGATGTTCATAATGCTTTTCTCCATGGTGATCTAGAAGAGGAAATCTACATGGATCTTCCACAGGGTTTACGGAGACAGATGATTATGCACTTTTCACATGGGCAAAAGGTGCGTCGTCTATCTATCTGATGATATATGTCGATGACATACTCATTATGGGAAATGATGAATCTGCAATTAAACATCTCAAAGATTATCTGCATTCTACTTTTCATATTAAAGATCTAGGACCTCCCAAAACTGTCGATTATGATGCGGGAACAACATCCCAAAGCGATGACCCATTACTCAAAGATCCATCCGGTTATCAGAGACTTGTAGGAAAGCTCATCTACCTTACTATGACAAGACCTGACATATGTTTTGCAGTACAAACACTCAGTCAATTTATGCATAATCCAAAACAATCTCATATGAATGCAGCACTGAAAGTCGTGAAGTACTTGAAGAAATGTCCAGGACTTGGAATACTTCTCTCTCGAGAATGTAACATGGAGATGACAGCCTATTGTGATACGGATTATGCAACCTGTCCTATGACCAGAAGATCCATTACTGGATTTTGTATCAAGTTTGGAAAATCATTGCTTTCATGGAAAACGAAGAAGCAATCGATCGTATCATTGTCCTCGGCTGAAGGCCGAATACGAGCCATGGCCAAGATCGTATGTGAGATAGTTTGGATGCGAGGTCTACTTCGGACTTGGGCGTACAAGTTAAGGGACCAACCGCCTTGTTTTGTGATAATGATGCGGCACTCAAACTTGCAACAAATCCTATAGTTCATGAAAGAACAAAACATATAGAAGTTGATTGCCATTTCACTCGGACAAAATTCAAGAAGGGATTATTGAGACAAAGGAATTGGAACATCAGAACGGCCTGCAGATATTTTCACCAAACCCTTATGTCGTAGACAACACACATATCTCTTAAACAAGCTAGGTGTCTTAGACATATACAAGCCACCAGCTTGAGGGGAGTGTTGGAGATATGTTTTGATATCGAAGATGCAATCCAGGATTTAGATCTATTGATTGAATCAATTAGTGATAATTAGTGATTACAATTGATATTGTATTTTTCATTATTTCCTTTTATTATCCATACATTGTACTATAAATACATGTAAAGAATGTATTGGTATCATAAGTGAAATACAGAAGAAATTCCCAATTTCCTATACATTTCTTCTTTCACCTTTCGTGTCAAGATTTCACATGGTGCGGTTTTTCACTCCGATGTGCAATGTACAGAAAGCGGATCAATGTCAGAAGAATGAGAGCAGCAAGAGCAGCTACAACAGAGCCGAGAGCCGCAATATACAGGAAATGGAATGTGCTTCCGTTCGCTAATCCAAGATTGAGACTTATTTTTCGTTAGTGCCCTCCGGGTAACCTGCAGATCATATGTCAATGTAGTTGAATCAACAAAAATCGAAAAGGAGAAAGAGCATGCGCTCCCGAGGTTAAAACTCAAGAACACAGTTTGGAGTTTGTAGTACCTACAACTGCATAGATCCTTAAGCCTAAAAGCGGAATTTGCACTTGGGTTTTCATTATAGAATCCAGTGCCTCAAGATATCAAACAATTCGGATAAATTACGACGAAACAGATGCCACTCGATCTGAGTGAACTCAAATGTGCTGAAATGCAACTCAAGAATTTCTATATGCAAACAAGAGATGTTAAAATCTTACCCCAAAAAAGTGTTAGGATTCGGCACACAATCACAAGGAAATGGAGAGTAAAAACAAGAAAAAGCTATCGAGATATAAGGTTTTTATCCTGATTCACCCCTAAATTAGAGTTACGTCCAGTTGAGGATTCCATTATAATTAGCACCTCACAATTACATCCCTCAATTACAAGAAAAAAAGATTATATATACCCAGTAGTCATTTATGGGTCCAAACCCAAACTATCAATAAGATATGAGTTCAAACTATAAAAGTCCTCTGGCGGCTCGGGGGCACTGCCCTTGCGACTCCCCTGGATCGTCGTTCGCTCATCGGGAAGCAGGACCCCCGTGCCTTCCTGTCGGAAGGGGAGTATAAACCACACCCAAACAAAAAGAAGAGCACTTATTTGGGATTGTTCCTCGTTTCCATTCTTTCTTTCGTTCAAATTATCTCTCATGATCTTTCATGGTTCGCAACGTGATTTGTGTTAAACTAGGGTTTCGACTTTGAATCGTTCCGTGCATATAAAACACATCAAAAGAACTATACATCGATGAAATTAATGTTTACAAAGCAATATTATATTCATAATCTTCTATAAATAAATTAAGTGATAAAAAAAAACGATGAGTCATAATTTACACACAAACTCTAATATCTAATTTATCAGCGACCCTCTTCATCAAATTCTCCAGGGAAGCTACATAATGCTCTAACTCTTCCACTCCCACGCCATCATCAACATGCCCGTCCCACCACATATGACCGGAACAATTACCAGCAGCTCTTCTCTCTCTGGCTTCGATCGCGTCTCTCTTCGCCTCTTCGAGCTTCGACACTGCATCTCGGTATTGCTTCTTGTGCTCATCAAAAGCGCGGAGAGCAGCTGCTGTCGCCGCCTCGCTTGCTTGGGCACCACCTCCACCAGAGTTATAGCGGTCGATGACAGCATCGGCCGACGGGTGGCCGAAGACAAAGGGGTTGCCGTGGGGCGAGTAGGCGATGATCGCGACCTGGGCGCCACATAGGATGGCAAGCTCGCTCGCCTTCCGGAACATGCCCTGGTGTCGCTTGGAGAACGTGACCTCGCGTGCAGCTTTATCCTCGATGATCTTGCATGCGATTCGACGGCGACCTGGGGTTTGCTTCTTTGCCTCCGCCATGGCCTTGACTACTCTCTCACAAGGACGACAGCTTGGGTTTTGCTCTTGGTGTTTTTGGAGTGATATCCTAACAAGTGTGAAATATTTCCTAATAAGGAAATTTCAATTTCCCTAAATTGTGATCACATGTATATCTAAGATTCTAGCGTTTCCTTATCTGTCTGAAACTCCTGTGACTTATAGAGTCATCGGAATATATTCTTGATTTAGAACATGGATTTCTATTAAGATGTACTTCGAGACACATGTCAAGTAGTTAAAGTAAAATAAAATTTTTAGTTTCGACCCGTTATTTTAAGAAAATCGAATTATTTGTTTATTAACTAAGTTCAATAAGTGTTTGAAAATAATGATCAACAGTATCCTCATCGGATATTTAAGTAGTTATTAGGACAACATTCAATTATTGGAAGATATTTTCTTGGCTATTGCCAAGTGGATAATCAACGTACATTGTGCTTTCGGCCAAAAAAAAAGAAATATAGAAATCCTTGAATTCATGATTGTTGGAGTCCGTCCTATTTCCTCAGGTCAGGAAGAAAAAAAAAAGGGTGCAAGTTGTTTTACCGAGTTGAGTTTTTTCTATTTTTTTCGGTCCTTAACTTGTAATTTTATTTTCAATTCCATCCTCCAAATGCCTTTATGCTTTGTTCCTAACGATACTCAAGTAATCAATTGAAAATCTATAATATCTAAGTAGGCATTGTACGAAAGTTTCGACACCTGTGGTGTCCATTTTTCCACAATTTTATCGTGCAAAAAGTATCGAGAGAATTGCTACTTCCGAGCTATCTCGCATTTTCCCCATAAATAACTTTTGCTTAAAAAAAGTATCCCTTTAATGTCTTTTTCCCAGAAGTTACTAGATTTAGTTAAAACCAAATAATATGATTCATTAAAACCAGATTATATATTTTTCCCTGTTCACTGATAACATCTGCTAATGAAGCCTTGTTTTTCCAAATCTTGGAAAATCCTCGTGCCATTTACGTGACTCACCATGTTTAAGGACCACATTGCATATTGTGTTAAAATTCATGGACCACATTGAACAAATTAAAAGTTCAAGAATCACATTGCATATTAGGTCAAAGTTCATGGACTATTTATGTCATTTTCCACCAAATTTATTAATTAGTTCTTCACTTTAATTACTTCCTCCGGAATCAGCGAGGCGAGACTATTTCGATTTAACGATGGAAAGGAAAATGAAAAATAAACAAAAATAGCTGAAGGCCTAATTTCGAGCCCTGGCTTTTCTAGGTTCTAGAGAAATTATCTTAAGCTATAGAATTAAGGCCTATGTCGGAGATAATAAAGATAAGCATATGGTTGCTTAGAGATCACCTGTGAACTAATTTATGGTCTCCTTGCTTTTCTTTTTATGACAATCGGGAAGTCTAACGAGTGCCGAAGTTATATAAAATAGCCACACCGATTAGTACATTGAAAATTGTAAAATTTCCTTAATCGATTGCTTAACAAGTGCTCGTGATGCACTCGTGTTGGTGCTCAAATTTGGCTGATTTGGCTAGAAGAAAGAAAGCGTACAACAGGCCCAAATTGCTAAACATTAAACTGAGTAATGAAGTCGCACAAGACCCAATATTTGGGATAACGAGAACTCGACATCAATGATCACTCGGGACATCGGGATGAAGATAAGAGCAGTTACCATATCTGATGCCGACAATATCGCAGAATAGAAGGAGTGGTAATCGGGAAGAAAATTGAATAATCCAGAGTCAAGATGGTAACCGCTCGACAGTTAGTCATCGGCAATAGCAATAACTAGCTTCGAAGAAATCAGGAGGAGGAACCTTTTGGCCAAATTGACTGCAGAACGCATACCTTTTGTAATTTTGTTGATTCAATCGCTATTGTGAATTTACATTTTATCGCGCAGTTTTTTATTCGTCCTTTTACTTTTGTTCGCCATTAGTGTAGAATTCGTCGCTTCCTTTCCGAAACGACACAGGACTCGGTTACTCACAAAAAACCGAAGATCTTCCCCTTCGGTGAAAGATTTTTCGTTCAAGGCCATTCTCGGCGAAACAACTCGACCACAAGATCCTATTGATTAGATATAGTGATTACTTCGGGACAACAAAATCCTATTTAAGTAGCTATTAGGAAGAGATTTTCTATGATTGTTGAGAATGATTTTCACGAAGTCGTCGGTTCAGTGCCTTCTCGCCCCACACGTTGACATCATGGTGACCTAGTAAAATCTTGTTTCGCATTTACCTCTTATCTTATAAAATAAATATGGTACATGTGTTTATAGCCTCCAAAGATATCCAAATTGGTATTACGGTGAAATAATGGATAGAATGATAATTTAAACTTCCTGGCATAATAACAGTATAATTTAAAGGGTTGATACTACGAAAAATGCCAAACTAGTACAACCTTGACAAATTTACCCCAAATTAATATTTTGACCACTAAAAGCCCCAAACGGATACACACATGATAATTTTACCCTCCGTTAGTTTCCGTTAAATTTTATCATCAAATTTCTAAGTTGGATGGCATGAAGCAGTTGACGGGTGTACCAATTTGGGGTTTTAAATTCCGTTTGTCACAGGTGTACCAGTTTGTGATTTTTTGTGGTATTAATCTAATTTAACGAAGGGTAAAATTGTCGTGGGTGTACCAGTTTAGGATTTTTGGCGGTCAAAAAATTGGTTTGGGGTAAATTTATCATAGGTGTACTAGTTTGGAGTTTTTCGTGGTCAAAAAATTAGTTTGGGATAAATTTATCATCGGTATATTAGTTTGGGGTTTTTCGTGGTATTAACCCTAATTTAAATATGTTTCATAGATTCTAAATTTAATTTTTTTTCATATTATTCTAAAATAAGTCAGATGACAAGGTGCCTTCTAGAATTTCTTTGAGAAATCGGTCCCTTAATGAGTAGATAGTCATTGGATCACAAAATAATGTACCTTGGCCATTGATTTAAAAAATTTGGAGTTCTTATACATTAGACTATACTTTGTATAGAAAGTACCGGAAAAATGCACGTAATTACGAGGGGTTACAAAGTCCAACATGATGGCTGCGGGCAGATAGAAAAGCAAATTTTATTAACCGGATCTTGTTAGCGAATGCTCTCGAGACATTTGTTAAACATGCTCAGCGATCAAACATACGAACTTCAGAATGTTGATTTTGAATATCATGCGAACTATATCAGCGTATTGAGAATTGCAAAATGCCTTTAATCGGGTTGCTTAACAAGTGGTCGTGGGGCGCCCAATTAACGAAATTCTGTCCATTGAGAGAGCGTCACGCCTCGAGATGATATGGAAATAAATAATAGCTATCTCTAAACTATAATGAATTAAAAGAAATTTCAACCGATACAGGAATTTCCTTATTCAAGAACCACTAGCGTCTCGACTATGTTTGAAATTGAGCATCCATCATGGGATGTGCAGTTCCTACTTCTTGAAATACGCCAAGCTATCTAAGATCCCAATCCCATCTTCATCTGTCGCTGTGGACTCCGGATCATATTGTTGCACCACCAGAACTGAAGCATTCGTGCTGGAATTCGACGATACGAGTATGTCGCCGATGGCCCCGAGCTCCGGGTACTCGCTCCACTCCGCCAACCCGAACGTGAGGGGCGATAGGGACCGCTCGCTCCGCCCCACGATGTACAGTTCGAAGTCGCGGTCCATTTCCCTTATGGCCGCCACGGTCTCGCTCCCATTGTTTACCGTCACCTCGCGGTAGGTTATCGACTCGTTGCCCGAGTTGTTCCGGCGGAACTCGGCAACGTAGACGTCATCAAGCCGCCTCTGCCTCTCCATGTTGGAGATGATGGTCAGGATGCCGTGCCGCTCCTGGAGCTCCATGGGCTCGATGTCTACGGCATCGCTGCCGGGGAGGAACCTCACCACCGTGAGGCTGATGGAGGGGTGGCCCGCCATTCGCCATGCGTAGGCGAGGGCTTCGCGGTCGTCGTGGCCCCCGATGAAGAGCATCGCGGCCTGGCGGGCCACGACCCGGTTCGACTCCGTCCGCCGCATCGCCGCCACCGCGAGCCCGCGGTCGACAAAGAGGGCCACGGAGCAGGGCGCGTTCGCGAGCACGCTCTGGTTGATGGGCCGGAACACAGGCTCCGCGTCCTCCATGGCCCCAGACATCGCGGGCCGGCGGTGGAACGGGAGGATGATGAGCGAGACGCGCTTGTCCTCGGCCAGGCCGCACACATCCTCGCACATGCTTTCGTAGGGGGACAGGATGGTCAGGGGCTGGACCGACGCGGACCGGTTCTGGCACCCGAAGTTCTCCAAACACTTCATGATGTGATCAGACTGGGCTTGGTCGTGCCGGTGTGCCCTGCTCGGCTTGTGCGGATCGTGGATGATAAGCATCGCCGAGGCGCAACCCGTGACTTCGACGAGGTGAAGCCCAAACACGGTGAGGGGCGACCGCATGTTCCCCGTGGAGATCTCGAGGAGGTTGACGATGGGCGAGACGTGGCGCGTCGAGTAGATGCAGGAGAGTACGCGGAAGTCGGTGTCAGATCCAGTCGCCTGGACGGATCGGAGCGTGTAGTGCATGAGCCGCTTGGTCGGGCCGTAGGCTACGTCAATGAGCGGAGCGACCGATCCCGTCATGATCACGAAACTCAGCACCAGGATCGTGTATTGATGGACGGTCAAGTTCTAAATCACAAGATAGTATATGAAATCTGCACGATGAAACTAGCAAATGGCATGGAAAGTTTGCACCAAAAACCTAAATCGTACCGCGTTGTCCCAAGCCACGTCAAGCAGAGCCAAACCCAAGAGGCTTTTGCAGTTCATGAGCAATCCTAGGACAGCACCTTCCCGAGGTTGGATGTTGAAGAACATGGCAATGCCCAGCGTGCTCAGGACTTTGGCCGACCAGGCCATGCCTATCACGAGAGCAGCCAGTGCCCAATCCTCCAGCCTTCCGAGCTCCCACAGATTCGCGCGGATCCCGCACACCACGTAGAAGAAAGGCAACAGGATGCCGGCCGTGTACTCCTCGATCTTCAGCACCAGTTTCGACCCGAGGTCCCCGCTCGGCATGATCAATCCGAACACGAACGCGCCGACCACTGCGTGCGTGCCGATGATGTCCGTGATCAACCCGAAAAGCGAGACCCCCATCAGGATGATCACCACGTAGTGATCGCTGTAATCTCTATCCTTGGAAGTCTTCTTGATTATCCACGCGAGAGCTGGACGGACTCCGAAAAGGGATACCGATATGAATCCGACGGCCGCGAGAAACGGAAAATGAAAGCTTTCGGCGCCCCCGAGGATGATTGGCATCAGTATTATGATGAGGACCCACGAGCAGACGTCGCTGATGACGGCCATGGCCATTGCGGTCCTCCCAATGTCGCTGTGGAGGAGCTTGATGCTCGTGAGGATCTCCGACAGGACGGGCGACCCCGTGATCGTCAGGGCTAGGAACCAGAACACGATGCCGAGCGGATTTCCATTCTTGAGCACGCTGAGGCTGTTCACTATGTAGAAGGTGCTTATCCCGACGATCCCGGGAAGGAAGAACGCCGCCAGCCCGATCAAGGTGGCCTTCTTCCCGATCAACGCCAATGCAGATGGGTCGAACCGAAGCCCGACTAGGAACAGATGGTACATCAGGCCGAAATATCCGATCGTCTCGACCTTTGCGAAACTCCTCACCGGAAAAATCTTTGCGGCCAAGGGGGTCTTCCTAAACGCGGTCGGACCGATCAGCAAACCACACTACATGACAGTGACGAGATGAGATCGGATCAAACAATCATAACAATGAGGGCGAAATCACGCGAAACATTTTTTTTGCATTAATCACGGGCTCGAACTCACGAGAATCTCAGAGACGATCCGAGGTTGGCGAAGAGGTCTGAGGACGAAGAAGAGGGCATGCGACATGAACATGATGATCCCGATCTGTTTGAGGAGCATGCCGACGGATATCCGGGGGGGGCCCGGTTCCCGCCAGATAGCATTGCTGCTCAATACATTCTCGACATAACAGGTGCCGGTCTTGTTCAGGAACCCGCTCGCCGCCATCGCGATGCCGCCGTGAAAACCCTGCTCCGATCCCGGAGAAACCTCCTGGGGCGCGAGGCTTTTCCGCGGAAGCGAAACCCTCTTCGTCGCGAAAGGGAAAGATGCGCCTGATCAGGATCAAACGGAGGCACAGGGTTTGCAACTGGAATTCGACCGTTGAGGTTCTGGAATTTCGATCTTCTTCCTCTTTCTGTTTGATGTTTTCTTGTTTGTTAGCATCGGACAACTATTGAAACAGACGATTTTCAACGGTGCAAAATTGGTAGGATTTGACTCGTTTGACCTCTTAAAACCTCGTTAGCGGTTTCTTGCGCAGGTGTTCCGTAACAAACAACAGAACAAACTTCAAATGTACCCTATGACACTTCATTTGTAATGTATAGATGGAGATAATATGGTTGCGAAATTTATAGTATTTTCGTATCGTGCTCGAAAATTTCTAGGAAGAACGCCAGGTTTTTGAAAATCCTAAGTAAATAAAAGACTGAAAATATCATGAATAGATTATTGGGTTAATACCACGAAAAATCCCAAACCGGTACACTTGTGACAGATTTACCCTAAACTAATTTTTCGACCATCAAAAACCCAAAACTGGTATGCCTGTGACAAATTTACCCTCCGTTAGTCTCTATTAAATTTTATAGTCAAATTTACCCTCCGTTAGTCTAAATATTTTCGTGGACGATGAAAATATTCTTTATTTATTGATTTTTGTGAGCGATACAGACAATCGTTTTTAGGAAAATGTTTTCAAAATCATTCAATTTCCGCGAAACAAACGGAGGTTTAAAATCGGGAGAAGGAACCGACCAAAAAAAATCATTTCGGTTCGCAAAAAATAAATAACTTGGAAAATGTTTTCCTAAAACTAATCATTCATATCGCTTGAAATAGTTAGTCGATGAAAAATATTTTTATTATCGACATCAATTCATGTCTAAATATTTTCCTGGACGATGAAAATATTTTTCGTTCATTGATCTTTGTGAGCGATGCAGTCGATCGTTTTCTAAAAGCAATATTTTCCAAATAATTCATTGATGCCAAGATTCCGCCATTAACGCCTTCCCTTCTTATCATAAAACTCTTCCCCAAACAAACAAAAACAAAGAAAGAAAAATAACAAATGAAATTAAAAACTGACAAAAAAGAACAAAATTAAAATTAAAAAATTAAAAATATCTCGTGGTTATGCGAACGCCAATCGATCATCATCGGCTTTCTGTCCCGTGTTCGGGCCTTGCTGCCTCGGAACTTTTCGGCTCGAACGCGGTTTCGAACTCTTCGATGGGTCTCTTGAATCTTTTAGCGGGAAGGTTGTTTTTTTTTTCCCGACATATACTTGGATTTTCGCTGAACATATAAAAGAAAAAAAATAAATTAATTAATTAAGAGTGCGCTTATTTCACGGAAAATATTTTCTTTAAAAAAAGAGCGAAAATAAAAATATTTTCACCGTCTGTGAAATTTATCGATAATGAAAATATTTTCTATTGACCCATTATTTCAAGCGATCGTTTTAAAAAAAAAAAAAGTTTTCGAAATCATTCAATTTTTTGAAACAAATGGAGTCTAAAAACCATCCAGTTTGTGTTCCAGATACTAGGAAGATGTTATTTGGAACCTAAAACAAGTTTTTGTGTTTTTCTTGGACTATGTCTTCGCATGATCCTACGGTATTTCATGACGTCTGACGATGAGTGTATAATCTGGACACTAGTCTGAACTTCCATTTTATGACCGAGACTTTTACTCTGTTAATGTTTCATATTTTTCGTGTGACTAAATATAAGTTATGGTTAGTGGATTCTAGCAGCAAGCGATAGTCATTAAAGGTGATGATTTAGTGCAATCGTTAAATTAATAATACAAGTAGAACCCATGTAGACCTTGAAACCGACCCGGAAGGTTCCAAGGTATACAATGTGTTCCAGGTTCCAAAATAGTTAGTCAATAAAAAATATTTTCATTATCGATACCAATTAATGTATAAATATTTTCTTGGACGATTGTGAACAATCCAGCCGAATTTTTTTAGGAAAATAATTTTCAAATTATTCATTTTTTTCGCTAAACAAACGGAACTTTAGAATCTAGAGGAGAAGGAACCGACCCACAAAAAATTCGGGAGGGAGGTGGTTCACAATATAAATGTGCAAAGGAACCGGGAATTGCCCGAACCGGATCGGACCGGCTCGAACCGGTGGTTCCTAAGGGAGCCTCCGGTTCCTGTTCAGTGTAGAACCGCCCACCCACTTACTTGAACCGGACCGGTAATATAATAATATATTATATATTTTACTTATTTTAATTAAAAAAAAAAAGAGAAATCCTAAAACCCTAAACGCACATGACTCACTCAATACTCGAAGCTCAAAGTTTGTATTGGTAGCAATTTTTAAGTGCCATTCAATCTTTTGAATTAATTATCAGGATGGTGATCATCTTTTTCTTCAACGAGTGTTGATGATCCTCATACATGTGCTTATTTCGCAGATTATTGGGGACCATATGCGGGCAATTGTATATCTCATCTCGGATGGAGTGGTCTTGTTGAACATAGGAAGAGGATATGTAGTTAGGCGTCTTATTCGGAGGGTTGTACGTACTAGCAGGTTACTAGGAGCAAGGGGTGATGGCAGAGAAAATCTTGAAGGCATTTTTGCTGTGACTTCTGCATTGGACCATTCTAGATGAAAGGCTCACTTGTCACTTGGACAAGAAAGAATTGGTGAAATCAAATGCCAGAGGACAGTTCTGTATACTGAAGATACATCGTACACGTGCATTAAGGTCAAAGTGGAAGTAGCATGCGGCGAACATAAGATCGGTTCCATGGATCCATAAGTCACGTGACGCGCGTGAGACGGTGATGGCGGGGGCTAGCGGGGAGTGGAGACCGGCGATGATTTTTTTTCGAAAAGGGGTAACTCTTTTTTTTGTGGTGGCGTAATTGCTTGCATTTTACTCAAATCGATTTTTTAATTGGAAAACCAAAAGGCCTTTTCGTGTACGAGGATTCGATGCATGAACTAGAATGGGCGGCGTGGTCAAGTATGGGCCCCGTTCTACGCTCGTCCGAGAACATCCCGACGCGTGTCTTTACCCTTGGATTAAGGCGGTTCAACGTAGATAGCCCCGATCAAAATTCAGTCAGCATCGGCCATCGGATCGAGCATGACCAACTCCCCCCCCCCCCCCCCCTACATGAAACATAGCCATCATTTCTCGTTCTTCGTGATTTTGGTCGAAATCCCTTTCTTTCTTTCTTTCTTTTTTTCGGTTTTGACAAATGATGTTCGGCACGAGGGGAGTGGTCAAGTCACGTGACGCGCACGTGAGGTGGCCCTCGGGGCAGGGCCTCTCCAGCTTTTCCCGCCATCGCCCGCTCTCCCCTCCTGTTTCCCGCCATCTCCGACCTCGACGAAAGAGAAAAGGGGAAGGGGGGGCAAAATCGCATCCAAGTTAGGGTTCACCACACGCGCACGCTCGCTCTCTCTCTCTCTCTCTGTGGCCATCGCGCTCTTCTTCTTCGCCGGACGGGGCTTCGCCGAGCGAGCGAGCGAGCAACGATCGATGGACGTCAGCGAGGAAGTGAGGGGGGCTCACAAGCGGGAGCTCCTGGCCTTCCTGGAGAACGATGTGGGGAGGATGTACATGGACGACATCAAGACGATGATCAACCACAAGCGCCGCCGCCTCGTCGTGGACATCTCCGATCTCCACTCGTTCCGCGACTTGGCCCCCCGGTTCGTGTTGTTGTCTTTCCCCCTCTTCCCCTTCCCTGCAGGTCGTTCCTTCTATTTCGACAGGTTCCGAGCGTGGGGAGTCAGGCTGTCGTTGCTGGGGCCGCGGATGGCTTGTCGAGTGTAGTCCGTGTGGTGGGCTGATTAGGATGATTTGTCTTTTTGTCGGGCTCGAATTCCCATTTCGGAATGGATAGAACGTGAATGCGAACGGACGGCCTAATTACGTTTTGGTCGTGATCCCTTTTTGTGAGCGAAGCAGCATTATGCATCCAATTGATTTGGCATTTTCAGGGTTTTCATTCAAATTAATTGTGTTCATTATCCTTAAATTGTTGGTTATGCATGGGCTTGATGCAATGGGGGGTGTTTTTGCTTTTCCTACTATATCGTTCAAGAACGTTGATTTGCTTACTTCAATCGGGTCATGTCTGTTTTACTTGATTATTCAATTGATTATCTATTGAATTTTTTTTTTTCAGGATCTTGAGAAACCCCGGCGAATACATGCAAGCATTTTCCGATGCGGTTACTGATCTGGTTCACAGAATCGATGGGAAGTACTTGAAGGAAGGAGAGACTGTCCTTGTTGGCTTCGAGGGGCCCTTCGTTTCTCGCCGTGTCACTCCTCGAGAGCTTCTCTCCGAATTTATCGGCTCTATGGTCTGCGTCGAGGGCATTGTGACTAAATGTACGTTCTCTTCTCTTGGCTAATACTGTTGTTTTTACTGTTGCTTTCATTGAGGGTGGGATACCAAACCCCTCTTGGGGTTCTGAGAGCCCATATCACTCGAGAAATTACTTGAAATTTATTTAAGTTTCTTGGTTCCCTAGCTGAAGCTGATAGTTGCTTTCCTAAACAGTAGACATTCTAGAGGTTCAGGTATGAATATAAGTTGTTCACTTGGTTAGCTAATATCATGACTTGCTGCGTCTGAGGCATTGACATAACCTTTGTTTATGTAGTCTTTACTTTGGTAGCCTTTCTTTATATGATTGTTTCACATTGGCACTAATAAGTTGGCCTTGTTTATTACTTGACTTCATGAATTCCACAGTACCTAGACTGTGCTCCACACTTTTCCCATGCAACTCGTGTGAAGTTTTGGACATGTGCAAAGATGATTTAAGATGGAACTACTCATGAACTAAACGCATTAACAGTATCAAATAGTCCATCCATACATAGTTTTGGATGTTGTACGTCTGCTCAAGACTGTATGGACCTGTACTTTTGGATGCATACTTCATATGTTCAATTGGGTTTTACCCAGTGAAAGTAATTTCTTGTGTAATAGCTCAACATTATACTAATAATCGCTTTACCAGAATTCGGCCGTTAAATGTACAAACCTGTTCTCTGACTTCTATTGCACATCTGAACAAGCTGTCAGATGCACTCCCAGCAATTTCGCATATTTGCGAGAGCTGATAACTTCAATACTCTTTTCAGGTTCTCTTGTGAGACCAAAGGTGGTAAAGAGCGTACACTTCTGCCCCTCAACTGAAAAGTTCACTACGCGAGAATATCGAGACATAACATCCAACATGGGTCTACCCACAGGTTCTGTCTATCCAACAAGGGTAAGGCATATATATACCTTTTGGAAAACTTATTATTGATGATTTATAGAGGGCCTTTCATGATGAAACTGTTATTTCAGGATGAGAATGGTAATTTACTGGTTACGGAATATGGACTCTGTCGATACAAGGATCACCAGACCCTCTCAATGCAAGAAATGCCTGAAAATTCTGCCCCTGGTCAACTTCCACGAACAGTGGATATCATTGTGGAAGATGACTTGGTTGATTCTTGCAAGCCTGGAGACCGTGTGGCTATTGTGGGGATATACAAAGCCATCCCTGGGAAAAGCAAGGGCAGTGTAAATGGAGTATTCAGGTAATCTTAGGTGTTCAAGCAAGCTTCATTGTCACTCTTTTTCCACCTTGGCCTGCTGATGCTCCCATTTTCTTGTGTTCTGTAGGCTTGACTAAGCAATTATTTTGCAGGACTGTCCTGGTAGCTAACAATGTTTCCCTTCTCAATAAAGAGGCAAATGCACCAATCTACACTCCAGAGGACTTGAAAAACATAAAAAAGATAGCAGGGAGAGATGATACATTTGATCTACTTGGCAATTCGCTGGCACCTTCTATATATGGTCACTCATGGATAAAGAAAGCAGTGATATTGCTGATGCTTGGTGGAGTTGAAAAGAACTTGAACAATGGTACCCATCTACGAGGGTGAGTAATATCTGATTTACATTTGGCATTAGTTACAATTATAGACATGGCCCCTAGTTCCCTTCTTCTTGCTTTCTGAGTCACTCTTGCATATTTCTTTCTACTAGTGACATAAACATGATGATGGTTGGTGATCCATCTGTTGCTAAATCTCAACTATTAAGAGCCATCATGAATATTGCACCATTGGCCATATCAACAACAGGTCGCGGTTCTTCTGGAGTTGGTTTGACAGCTGCTGTTACGTCTGATCAAGAAACAGGTAGTGCATCTGGTAGACCTATTTGTCAAATACATATCATCATTTGATGAGTTAAGTGATGCTATTCCTTTGTTTTTGTTAGGGGAAAGAAGGCTAGAAGCTGGTGCAATGGTTCTTGCTGATAGAGGCGTTGTCTGTATTGATGAGTTCGACAAAATGAATGACCAAGATCGGGTTGCCATACATGAAGTCATGGAGCAGCAGACTGTAACTATAGCCAAAGCTGGTATCCATGCATCATTGAATGCTCGATGCAGTGTGGTAGCTGCTGCCAATCCCATATACGGAACTGTAAGAGTGCTTGTGTTGTTAAATTCTCAATAGGATGGATGTCGACACCAATGTAGTATTTGATGTATGTTGAGAATTCATCCTCCTGCTAACTTCATGCTGCTTTCTTTCCTGCAGTATGATCGATCTTTGACTCCTACAAAGAACATTGGCCTTCCGGATTCTCTTCTTTCCCGTTTTGATCTACTTTTCATTGTATTGGATCAAATGGATCCTGATATTGACCGTCAAATCTCTGACCATGTCTTGCGCATACACCGATACCGTTCCACATTTGATGGGGGTAAAAGTCATAATTTGTACAAGTAAAAATTAAGATTTCAGAGTTTCAGTCCTTGATATATGTTTGCATTATAGGTGAAGTCGATGGAAGTTCACGGTATGGGAGGGAGGATGAAGCAGATGCTGACTCATCTGTTTTTGTCAAGTATAACCGTATGCTTCATGGGAGGAAAACAGGAAAGCGTCAGAAGAATGACTCTCTCACCATCAAGTTCCTTAAAAAATACATCCACTATGCAAAGCACAGAATTCAGCCAGAGCTGACAGATGAGGTTATGATGTTTCTTTTTTTCTTATTGTTAATCGATTGTAATTGAAAGCAAAGTGGCTTTGAGAAAACTGTATGAATACCAACTATCCGTGGTATTTAGCCAACTTGATATTACAGAAATGTAAGGAGCTATTCTCACGGTTTAGTTTTGCAGGCATCTGAACACATAGCTACTGCATACGCAGAGCTCCGCAATGCCAGTTCGAATGCACAGGTACCTCTAGTAATCTCATATTTGGGAAGTCAATAATTTATTTTCATGACTTATTGGGTTTCCAACCATTTGCAGACTGGAGGAACTCTGCCGATCACAGCAAGAACTTTAGAAACCATTATACGTCTATCTACTGCCCATGCCAAGCTTAAATTGAGCAGAAAGGTACTTGAATTTGTTCATTTTTATTAATTATGCAGGTTTATTATGTGAATAACTGGATCATTTTATGTATAATCAGGTTACAAATTCTGATGTGGAAGCTGCACTAAAAGTATTAAATTTTGCTATTTATCACAAAGAATTGACTGATATGGAAGAGCGTGAGCAAGAAAGAGAGAGAGAATTGGGAAGAAAACGCCAGGCTGATCGACATGCTGGTCAAACTAATGGAGATGATCTTGGCTCTACCATCAATGCAGGAGGGTAAGTACACATGGTGTGCTTTTCTCTTTACGGGGTTTATTTTGTTTGCTACCGCTACTGCATGAACATTTCCACATTGCAGAGTTTCCTCTTGTATCAAATGGAATTGCTAAGTTACATCAAGACCCCCTTATATCTGACCCTACCATTTGATCCCATCAACAAAAAGAGTGGATTAATAAGCTTCCAATTTGGTCTAAGATTTCTGTTTTCCAATAAATCGTAAGTGAAAGGGAGGGTCAATAGTAACTCTGCACATTATTTTATTTCCAAAGGACAAAAACTGCTTTAGGATTTTTAGCCACTGCAGTCTGCAGCCTATTATATCTAGGTCCCGTCATTGGTTTCCTCATCTCTCTGCTACGAGTTACTTCACTCTTGTGCGTCACTGACATATTAACATGCAGCTAATGAGATTTTTTATGCTGAAAGGCCCCTGATTCTTCAGTTTTCACTGAGAAAGTCTGACGATATTGTAGTCTTTTTTGGGGATTTTGGTGAATTTGGGGAAAGTAGTCACTGACGTTGCCTAATTGTTCATCCTTGTTTACCACCTGATACATTTTAGGTTGTCATCATTCAGAAGAGTAAGCTGTCTCTTCTGTATTGAGTTAATGTAGCTCACTACCGAATACAACTTTCATAGTAGTTTTGCGTTTTTCTTTTCATTCTTGTTTTGCTGAGCGATCAAGGACCTACTCTGCAAATCCAAGTGGGTTAATAGTAAAGCCTTTGACCACATTAGTAAACTGAATTTTCTTCTCATCTCGCTTTCAACCGATTCTTTCCTTTCTCGTGTTCTTCTGTCCACTGATGTGGCCGGACTTACGATCTTCTCTGTACTCTCTCGTCCTTTCTTCTTGTTAGCTCAACTGACGCCATGGAAGTAGATGATGCACCCCCGGCACCACCTGCAACCCTGTCTCAAGAAAGGTATTGATAAGGATGTTTCTTTGGGTGCTGATTTATTTGCTTGCATAGATCTTAATATTGCCCCCTTTGACTCTGTGCAGAATCGAAGCATTTAATACCATATTCGGTCAACATATGCGAGCGAACCGCTTGGAGAGCATATCAATTGCGGAAATTGAGACAATCATCAACAGCATTGCAACTAATCCCTACTCAAGTACACAGATATTGTCACTTCTGCAGGTAGAGAAAAATCATCTCCAATCCATTGGTTTGAAGGCCTTCAGATGCCATGCATTTGTACATGAATTCATTTGTATCCTAGTCTAACCTCTGATTTCCCTATTGTGTGGTCTTGTGATTGATGGATTATTTTCATTTGATCAGCGACTGGAAGGTGAGAATAGAGTGATGATAATTGGTGATGTCGTGCACATGGTTATAAGCTGACTCTTAAGAGAGGAACATCTGCGGTGCCAAAATTATGGACCATCGCTCTTCATCTGCAAGTTGCTGCTCATAAGCTACTGTCCAGCCAGGTCCATTTTTATAGCAAAAAGCCATATTGTTGGAGCCTTTATCTTTTGTTCATTACCATCACACTGCTTTTAGAGCTTCTAGTACTATCTTTGGTTGTACGTGGATTAATTTATCCTTCCATTGCAGTTACTATCATCTGAGAGTGGTACCTCCTAGATCAGTCACTGTAAATTGAAAGTTACGAAGGTCGTGAGTCTATGTCATGGTATATTTATTGATGTTTTCGGTTCACACGCCTGCATGCCGATGTAAAGAAGTCTTGTATCATTTTGCTCGATAGACCATTGATGTGCTAGGGGAAAAACTTAGGCTCGATTTCTTCTTTGATAAGTACATAATGCTCGGTCATTGGGTCGACTCTTGGCATGCTAATTTCCATGACTTAACGAAGCAATATCTGCTTCGTCAGAAGCAAGCGGTCCTGGTAAAACGCAGCATCTACAGCAGGAAGATCAGGTCGGGAGCATCTCATAAGTTGTAAAAAATATCTGATTGCTAATGCTGTAGGAGGAATTTTTTTAGATATTGGAGAGAGTACTTTTTGCCCTCTTTTTGCAAAAAAAATATTTCTCTAGAAAAATGATTCCTAAAATAGATCTGTACAAAAATTAATTTACAAACTAGATATCTAAATGTCATGTCGTGCCTAAAGATTTTCTGGTGATCAACCTCCTAATCCTAGTCATTTCTACTTTCATCAAACAATTAAAGTAAATTTTAACGCTGCTCACAAACTTTAATTTTTCAGAAATACTCTATTATAAAGAATGAAATCCTAAGAAGAAGACTGATTGTTACACCACAAAAGTAATCTCTCCTTGAGTTTAAATTCAAATTATGGGTAAAAAAATTTTTGAGCATCATTTTATAATGACATGACCTGTGTAGTATAATTATGAAAGTAATGGTAAAGTCATCCATTTCATTTAAAGTTAATTTGAATCTGAATTTTCAAAACATGAATAATTATCTATTTTATATGTAGCTTATTGTATTTAATTAAAAATTAATGGAAAGATTAGATTTTGGAGCAATAAATCAATAAAGTAAAACTTTGTGATTGTATGCGAGCGAGTTCTTTGAAATTGGGTGGATTCCATTGAAAAGTTGAGGATTAATAATCTTTTTTAGAAATCGAATGAATTCGGTCTTATGTATACTTGAGGAAGGTTATCAATAGAGAAAGAAGATGAGTTCTTTCTCACATCACTTAAAAACCGTGTGAGGTGAAAGTCACATGCAAGGTTTTCAATGTGGGAAAAGAAGTGAAGAATCCTCTTTCCAACTCTGACCCTCCCATTCCAATCATTGCTTTTCCTTTTTACTACTTCCAAAGTAGTTGCTTCAGCTTCAATTTTTAAGGAACACACAAAGGTTGCGCGCAAAGTGACCGAGATCAGAAAGCTGATGACTAGACAATCTTCAGGCATGATTGGGTAGCAAGGAAATCTAGTTCGAGAAATAATTTTGGGAGAGATTCATTTGAGAATTGCTTGCTATGGAATTTATTTGAGCATTCACTTGTTTAGTGTTTCGGTCTTCGTAGCATTTTTGCAAACCGCTTCTTATACATTCCCTTCATGCTTCGATGTTTTCGGTGGATGTCTAGGTCTGCGACTCTGCAAATGCTTGAAAATTGGTTTATGCGAGTTTATGATTTGTTAACATCCCCGTTCGACTCGACCCGACCCGACCCGACTTTGGAGCTTGGACCCGCTCAAACGGTTGTTTGGGCCCAAATTTTGAAAGAAAAGACGAGGCCCAAATTGGTATATGCGAGTTTATGATTTGTTACGGTACGAACCGATTGTGTGCATGTCACCAACTTCACATTCCAACATCTTCCACGTGAAATTTCTCTCATCACTCAGATTTCAAGCATAAATTCTCTTTAGTTACGCTCGTTATCCATCTCGAATCCTCCCATCATGCTCCATCTCTTAAGGTCAAAACCCGTAGGGGATACTCCCTCCTTCTCGGGAGGAAAAATAACGGGGAGAGCAGAGGAGTTCTAGATTGTCCGACGGCCGGGACGGTAAACAAGACGCTCATGTCTCCTGTCAGCCTTAACAGGTCCATTACATTAGCTTCACTCGAACGGGAAGTCAAGACCGTGACAACTGCTGGGCAACTGGCAAAAGCAGAGTGGAGGGAGGGAATTTTTTGTGGTCGCAGTTTTTCTTACTTGGGTTTTCGCGGGGATATCACAATCGCCCACGATCACCACCGAATGGCCACTCCTTCGATTCTGAGTCTCAGAGCGACCACCTCTCACTTTCTTGTTCCATCATCTCCTCCCTTCTCGTTCTCTCTCGCTAATAAGCCCAAGTCATCATCACCCTCGTTCTCAAACTCCCTCAACTCCATCAAGGTACGTGCCCCCACTCAAGTTTCTCTGCCTTCTTCTTGTTCTTGTTCTTGAGACCCCCAGCTCTCAGCTCCTCTCACCATCTCTCTGTCTCTGTCTCTGTCTCTGTGGTAGATGATGCAGCAGGGCAATGAGATTACAGAGGAGGAGGCAGCGGGGAAGGCCGAGGCCAATGCGGGCCCGGCGAGGAGAGTGTTCGTCGCCGGCGCGACGGGGAGCACCGGCAAGAGGATCGTCGACCAGCTGCTCGCCAAGGGTTTCGCCGTCAAGGCCGGGGTCCGCGACGTCGGCAGGGCGAGGGCGGCCTTCCCCCAGAACAATCCAGCCCTTCAAATTGTGAGTCATGCATGCTCTTCTCGATTTGTGGGTTCTTTTTCCTTTTCTTTCTTTCTGAGGTTTGGAAGAATGAGCGAATGTACAGGGGAAAATTATGGTGCCATTCTGCGAAAATTGGGTTTTCAGATATAGGCAATGCCGTCCTTTTAGGTTGCAGCTAGCAAGTATGAATGCAATATCGAAATAAACGAAGCGAGTAGGAAGGTGTTATGAGCATTTTAAGTTGCATAGTCGGTTGAATTGTAAGAGGAGTGTAATCTAATGAGTTCATTTGAAGGTGAAAGCTGATGTGACGGAAGGGTCCGAGAAGCTGGCTGAAGCAATTGGCGGTGACTCCGAGGCTGTGATTTGTGCCACTGGGTTTAGGCCGGGGTGGGATTTGTTCGCTCCTTGGAAGGTTAGTCGAAGATAATGTCGCAATTATGCATTCAGGATATTCCTCTTGCCTGCCGTAGTGTCGTGTAGTGTATTTGAGCGTGGATGTTTCGGTATCTTATTGATTTCCGTCGACCCTTGGAGTTGAACTTTGTCTTCGGTTAAGCCGACGAAGTTTTTCTAGTCATTGATGCTGTTGATGTCATGAGCTTTTCAATTGAATGTTGAAGGGCCAATTGCTTATCATTCCAGCTAAGAAAGAAAGATACTGCTCCCTTCTGTTTTTTCCACTTCATTTTTTCTCTTTCTCCTTCCTAAGAAAAGGAAAAGGTACATTGATTGCGAGAAATGCATCTCTTGTATCAAATGTTATCTTCCATGGGGTTTAGGTGTTTGATTCTAGATTCACTTGTTACGATGGAGAAAAATGAACTTTCGACTGTTTCAAAGAACCAATGCTAGCAGATGCCTCCGTCGCCTGTTATTCTTTATAGAGTTGATACCAAGGCTGTGTTATACAATTTCAGCGATGCTTCTAGTATGACGTCACACTTTTTATTGGTTCACTACTTAAGACATGCAATTCAATTTGTCTCTGAGAATTGAACATCTGCACCTATCGCATTTTAGGCTTTTCTTGAAATGTTGAATGTTATGTTATTGTATGATGAAAAGTCTGTGATGGTGAAATTCAAGATATTCAGAGTAGGAGAAAGGAAAACAATGGGGAAGAGAAAGGAGTTAAAAGTCTGGGGAATCATGTTTTTTTGTGTCTGTGCCTCCATGGAATACATGGCTAGAAAGAAGCAGGGAAAAAGAACACCTAAACAAAAGTCTGCATCTGATTGAATGCTAAAAGATACATTTCTCAGTGATCTTTTTGAATGGATTCAGGTTAAATTGAAAGAGTTTTTTTTATATATGACATTATCTGATTAGTATTACACAGCTCCATATCTGTATGCATCTTGTGCATCTTCACGAACAAATCTTTACCAGGTTCAGATCCTGAATGCCATACCTTAGCTAAGGAAAATAATGAGGATTCTCTGCATAGAGCAGGGGAATGATGAAAGCTTTGTTGTTGCAGGTTGATAACTTTGGCACTGTCAATCTTGTTGAAGCTTGCCGCAAACTTGGAGTGAACAGATTCATCTTAATTAGTTCTATCTTAGTAAACGGAGCTGCTATGGGGCAGTTGCTCAATCCCGCTTACATCTTCCTCAATGTTTTCGGTCTCACCTTAGTCGCCAAGCTTCAGGCAGAGCAACATATCAGGAGATCCGGAATAAACTACACTATAGTAAGGCCTGGTGGTTTGCGTAACGAACCTCCCAAGGGTAACATTGTCATGGAGCCTGAGGTAATTCCACCCAGACAATTTGTTCTGGTTTCATTTAGTACTTGCAGCAGTCAGTTGGAAGTGTTTATAACCATTGCTCCGGAGAAGATCATTTCCGGTCTTTTAGGCCATGAATTGACAATATTCAAGAAATGCTTTTGGCACATTGTGATTTAAAGATTAGATGTACCATTCATTGTCATTTTCCTGTTTAAAGTTCATTGTTTTCTCAGATATTGATTAGTCTTGCATAAGTTTTCCCAACTATTCAAATCCATCTTGGTCAAAATATCGAGAACATGAGTTGATTTCAGATGTAGGTTTGTTCTGAAGAGCTGTTTCTTGCCAAGAATATACTGAAAATAGTTTGCCAAATAAATTTATCCATAAGCAAAATCTTAAATTGATCAAAATGAGTTGGCTTGCTACTTTCTCTTCTATTTTCCAGGATACTCTGTATGAAGGCTCTATTTCCAGAGACCAAGTTGCAGAAGTTGCTGTCGAGGCCTTAAACTATCCGGAATCCTCTTACAAAGTTGTCGAGATAGTCGCCCGCGAGGATGCTCCCAAGCGTTCATTTGAAGAACTGTTTGGTTCTGTTAAGCAGCGGTGAAATATAAATTTCAGGAGAGGGAAATTTTTCTCAGGCATTATCCGCTTTAGTCTAGCGACGTCTGTGTATGTGACGCTACATATTGTACATTGGTTACAAAGTGCAGAAATATGTCGGTATTCTTTGACGAGCAAATACATCAGCGACATATCTAAGTATTCTATGCTCTGACATTCGTGCACTGTGAATGCCTAGGGGTACGGTTTTAGGTCATTGGTGTATCCCAGAGGACTTCCAGAGAAGTTAGTAAATGTAAATTAACATGACAGCGGTTGAGGACTTTGGTCCGAAGAGAAGCTGAAACGAGCTAAAGTCAGATTGGAAGTCGTCATTAACCTCTCTTCTTCACCAAACCTGCAGGTGCAGGGTGAGAGGCCTCCCCTCTCTCTCTCTGTGACTCTTAAGGGCAAACCTCAAGGGCGAACGACTGAAATTGCCAAGTTCATCTATTTTTCTGGATAACCGGCCCAGCTCCGACCCGACCGATGACCTTGAGTACTACGAATGGTCAAGATCTGGAGGCTCCCTCCACACTGAAACCCCATTCCACCAATGGATGGAGTCTACAGAATGTTTTTTCTTTCCTTCCGTTGATCTCTGTCTCCTAGCCTCCCTATAGATCTTTTCGGAACGTCACCCTCAATGATTTGCCATTACAACACAGAGAGAGAGAGAGAGAGAGAGAGAGAGAGAGTTTTCTGCTAATTGCTCAACATATATCCCCTTACAATGGGAAGAGAGAGAGAGAGAGACAGAGACAGAGAGATCGTTTTCTGCTAATTGCTCAACATATATCCTACAAATGGGAAGAGAAAATGTTGACATCGGGCACAACTTACATGGAGGAAGCTTACATCGAGAATGCTTAGCTCCTAACGGTAATTTCACTTTACCTCAACGCAGTTCCTTCAAATCAAGATCGTCAATGGAAGGAGAATGCACATTACTTCACTTTCCATTGTCGCTGCAGGGGCAATTAACTCCAGTGTCTTCAATTGTAAAATACCGATGTTGAGTATGCAATTTTTTTGTAGCTATTTGAAGCTGTTCGAGACATCCACTTCACATTCCAGGGACACTGCAGAATTGCCAAACCAGGATTTGGAAAGTTTCCCTAATTGCCGCCAGAGCTTGATGTCTTACAGATGTCAATGTCCATTCAGCCAATTCATTTGAAGGGGGAGAGCTGCTTGTCTCTATTCCCATCCCTCAATTTTCTATGCCTTCTTCTCCTCACCTACAGAGAACAAGCAAAGTAAAAGAGCTTAGTTAAGAAATGAGAAGTACAATTTTACAAGAGTTCAAGCAGAATTGGGAATCATAAACCTAGAATGGTACTGTAAAGTGGAAAGGATCTCTCTCTCTCTCTCTCTCTCTCTCTCTCTCTCTCAATTGTTGCCTGCCATGTGTGTGCTCACACCCAGAAAAACAGAACAAAATAGAAGAGATATGTCTCATAAGGTGGATGAGGCTGACAGAAGCAGGTTTTTTTCTTCAATATTGTTTGTAAAACATCAACCCCTCCGGCTATTTATTTCTTGATGTCATTAAGTCATCAAACGATCAGTTATGCAAGTATATCAATGGACATATGCAGCGAACTACACTCATAATGATCCACGGCCTCATAGACAAGACAGTACGAAACCAGGATTCTTGAGCCAACACATGGAGCCATGCTTCTTCCCAACTTATACATCGAAAATTGGATAGCCCACCATATATTACCAAAACGATGGATGAGCTACTAGGATAAATTCAAATTAAAGTGAAACTGCTTTTCGCTTAATTCGGATATTAGCAGGCAGTAAATAAGATTAATTTCCATCACTATAAATAGTTCATACTACAATAACACACAAGTCACTTGCATCACTTGCAATGCAACATTTTCTCATGCACAAAAACTCTTGACTTATCTATAAATGAGCTCATGTGCTCAATAAGCTTACACCTTCACTTTCTGCACACCCACAAAACCTCACTAAAGCTCGCAGCACCCACTTAGCATATAATCCATCCCCGCCCACTATAATGCAAGCTTCTGGAATGCAGAACAGAAACAACAACCCTTCAGAGAGAAACCTGAGTTCATTTTTGAGAAGCCAATAGAGTTTTGTGTGCATGTGAGAAAAGTGCTGTAGTGTAAGTGATCTTGTAAGTGTGTCATCCTCCGAAGCCATAGTTCAATGGAAATTCAATTTTTTATTTGATGCCTGCCAATCTCTAAATACAACTAATTAGTACGAGAGGTAGGCAATTAGGGACTGTCTTGTCTGGTGTCATTGACAAAAATTTTGTCCAAAAATAGTCAGGCGCTGTGGAGTAGATATAAGGTGGCACCGACCAATCCTCGGAAGATATCGAATTGGAGTTGGATTTCACCAAGTGTCTGGTCCAAATTCTAGTTGTTCTTGGTCAGAGGCCAGGGTTATGTTTGTACAGAAAAGTACAGATATACAACGGAAGATCTCCAAACTGTAGGCAACATCAAATGGTTTAACAACAATCACATCATACTTGCAGGGCCAAAAGTAGATGGTGAAGAAAACAAAAGATGCAATGTGAAGTTCAAGCTGTGGCTGCCTTCAAGGAAACTATTAAGGAAAGAACGCTGTAACATGGCTATGCTACAACACAAAACAAGACTTTGGGACAGCCTTGCCTCTTGATTTTCCAAGAAAATTGATATGAAATCACAGCAGCTTGAAGATGCATTAGAGGATGACAGAATGAAAAGAATAATCTTTCATGACTAAAGAAGTAAATATCAAGATTTATCAGTGTCAACCAACGGTAGCCAATCTCACCATCACTCAAAAATTTAGAAACTCTATTAGCTGACAAAGAAAATCTGAATAATGTAGATGGCTGATGAGAAGTGAAGAGGAGGCACTATAAAGCAGTCTGAAAAGCTATCCAACAAGCAGGAGCTTTAACACACAAAAAAGGAAATAAAGGGAGACCACCTTTAAAGGCTTACATGCAGGGGGAGCTCAACATTGTTGCAATCAAGTTACAAATTCAAAGAAAACAAACGACAGAATGATTAATGTTGCAGTTGAAAGCCCATTATGCTAGAAGTTGCAGATCCAATAACAAATCTATTAAAGGCAATGCAACACGATCTATGGTCAAAAAGAAGAAAACACAGTGAAGAAGAATGGGAATTTATGTAGTGGAGGTAATGAAAGATGAAGCCAGCGAAAGAATAACCAAGGTTTGGAGTCAAAAGAAACACCAAACAAATGACAGGGACCCAAAAAGTAAGTCAAATACAGGATCCCAGCAAAGTATATTACAAGTCAACAGGAAATATTAGAAAAAAATTCATTGGGTCCACAACTTCAGAATATCCACTGGACCAAACAAATAAAACCCTAGATATGCCAGCGTAATATTTGTAGAAGAAAGTGTGGAAGCGATGACACATGAGAAAGCAACATAATATACTCCTTGAGCAATTGGATGTAGAGATCCAATCCAAAGAGGAAAACAATCTAAGAAAGATGTGAGACCCCTGTTCTGTAAATGGAGATTTACGTAATAAAGACAAAACCTGATGGGTCAATAGAGAGACAGAAAGCTCAATGGTTGGCTCAAAGATTCTCACAGTAAAATGGGATGCATTACGATAAAAAGTTGAAAAGAAGGAGCTCGGGGAGCTCAATAATTCTCATACTTAAAAGTGCAGTGCAAAACGTGACTGCTCAATACAAGCTTTTCTAGGGATTTTGTATCCTAGAATGCATGCCACTTTAAACTCTAACAAAACTTAATGTAAGATTCTCCTCTGCTGAAGGCAAAGATTAGGATAATTGAAGTGTTTATCAACACTGTGGATTTTGATGTACTTACGATTGACACAGCCAAATATCTCTTCTGCCATTGGAATCAAAAGTAACAATATCGAAGAAGTCTCACTTGCAAACATTTCAACATACTCTATGGTATCCAAAGGGAACTTTAGACTTAAGCATTTTCTGCAGAAAAAGAGTGGAATCAGCAGGTGAGATATTGTGACATTGACAACTTATCAATGGTTTACGTATTCACCATGGGTAAGAGCAAAATCCGGGTGTGCCAAAAGACGGTCACTCTATCCTTATCAACAACTTAGGTACAGTACAGAGTAGCAGCAATGGCAGAACAAGAAAGTACGGATTGTACAATTCATGGGAGACTTATGACAAGTGATTAACTACTCAAGAATGCTCACTTGAGTACCGTTTTGACTATGACGAGGGATTTACAACTAGTGATTAACTACTCAATACCGCCCTATTGTGTAATTATTGGACTAAACATTTAGCAGTGTCTCTGCTCAAATAAAACATGTGGAAGTCCACCGACCAGTAGAAGGTGCTTGGGGGAGAAATAAAGATGACATCTATAGAGACAGTACGCCAAATTGCTGCCATGTTTACGAAGGATGTCTTTTTCATGATTGAAACCATTTAGAGAACAACTTGGCATGGTAATAAGTTTAAAGAAGTTGGTGTTGAGGGGAGAGTTAACAAAGACAAACCGGCTTGCTTAAGGATGAGATGAACTTCACAATGTGAAAGGAACCTCTCTAGGTATCGGCCTTTCACCAAAAGCCATAAATTTCAGCTAATCATCTCAATTGCTATGTGACCAGTTTGTGTCCAATCCATGCGGCCCTCTCCTATCCAAGAACTTTAGACTTCCAACTAGTATAAATAGAGGTAGTCTTTCATGGTTTATAGAACAACTTGAAGCAAGCAATACGACCTTGCAAAGAAGATTTAGTGTGCTATTGTACTCTGAAGATATTGTTTGATGGAAATTTGTATTCTTATTTTCAACCCAGCAATCTCTAAATTCAACATTTTCACAAGAGATTGGTATGGCACAGTAGATAAGCAAGGATGGACTTAGTACAACAAGGAGGCCTAAGTTGGACTCAATTGTCTTATCCATAATTAGGATCCTATGCTACTATATCATCATGGGTAACCATAAAGATAATGAGACGAAACAATAATACAAGACAATGGCACCAAATCAAATCTGTAGAGAAGTAAAATAATACAAAAACTACACTGGAATGATCGTTGTGAAGTATTCTTCTTTTTCATAAGCAAATGGGAGATCTATCACATGCATGAGCAAGATATGTCTTTCTCCAAGTGGACATTCTTGTTCTGTACCTGATGCAGCCTTCAATTTGTCAAGCTGCTTCCGAAGATAAGCCTGCTTCAGTTTCTCACGCCGAGCATCTGCCTGCATTTGTCTGCGCATTTTGAGCTCAGACACCTTTTCTCGTGCTTGATTCACCTCTTCATGTACTTCCCTATAATTGATCATGAACAAGATAAATGAGCAAGTATGCATGCATGAACCTAACAAATATGTTGATCAAGCTTTTATTTCCCAAAATCGACAAGGTCCATGAATGCATAATACCATAATCCAGAAAGTATTGTTAAAGGAGAAAAAAGCCGAGTCCTACCTCACAAAACGCTTATGTTCGTCATTATCCATTGTTCCAACTGTTCGACCGGGTCCCATAAACTTCGTCTCAGGTAACACCGCGGCCTCGTTATCCCCATCTACCAGCACTTCTGAGGAAGGCATGTCATGCCCTTGTGGCTGATGTGACTCATCCTGCTCGAGGTTCTTGCGAAAGAAATCCACACAATATTTTTCCTGGTCCTCCTCATCAGAGAGTTCTCCCTTAACTAGCTTATCGTATAAGGCAGCCTTCCTCTCTAGTGCTTCATAGCTTTTCGAACCATCATTAATAGCTTTCAGCTCAAGCTTGTCCCTGAATGAAAATCAACAAAACACAAGTGAATATCACCTTCTATAGCAGGTACAACATTGCATAAGCTGCGGTTTTCAACAATGGGACTAAAAATAATAGATTGTTCTGGGAGCTTCTCTTTCAAAGTTGAGGAAACGGTCCTCTAGATTTACAATCACTACAGACCCACCAGAAAGATTCCAGTTTTCATTGAAAACACGGACAATTTACAGCATAATGCATCCGATATACGATGAATGCATGTCCCAACCAAACGAAGAAAATGAAAGGAGGGAACTTTCCATCGATTTCTCTTCCAATAATTAACTGAGTAAAATAAGATTGCAGCACCAGATTCTCTCTGCACGTTCCAGTCCAATCCCACCACAATTGCAATCGCTAATACCGAAATTCGGATGCTGCCGCAATACTTCAAATCGTTTCGGCATACGGAAGAAACGGATCAAATTAGGGCTCGGAAACACCAACAAAACCACAAACCCCAAAACCTGGTCCTCATCAACCGATCAGAAACCGCGAAGCACCAAAAAGCGGACAATCGCAATCAACGAAAAAGAGAAAAAAAAACTCCAATGACGAGAGACGCACTTGTGAGCGCGAGCATCCACGCCGGAGTTCTTGCGGGAGAAGGAGTCGGGGGCGGGGGCGATGATCTTGGCGCGGTGGTAGGAAGCGTCGCCGGAGGAGAGGTCCTTGGACTGCTTGGACTCCTCCTGGGAGCGGTAGAGCTGGGCCTTGAGCTCCAGGATGGAGGAGGCGCCGACGCCGGCGATGGCGCGGCGCTTCTTGGGCATGATGGAGGACTCGGTAAGCCATCCCAGGGACTCCACCACCACCACCCGCTTCTTCCTCTCCTCGTCCGCCATCTCTCTCTCTCTCTCTCTGTGCGCTCGGCACCGTGTGGGATTTGGGGGAAATCGAACAGTTCGACACCTCCGAGACGAACTCTCCAGAGCGCGATAAAAGGCACCGCCGGTGGCAAAATTCAATCCGCTCTTGAACTTTGTTTTTCAATTTGGTCCTCACATTTTGTTTTTAATATTGATGATAGAGCCTTCCAAATTAATCTTTTTTTTTTTTGGTCTGAAATATTAACCCTTCATTAGTATCTTGTAAAAAAAGAACACTGAATTTCTTTCAATCTAATTTCTTTTGTTTTGCTAAGCATTTACCCTCACCAGTAAGATAAAGAGAGATTGATATTTCTATCCTATAATCTCCTTGGCATTTGTTTTTCATCTTTTTGACTTTGGGCTTCAACTCTAACTTTTAGTATTTGGAATTCAATTTTGTTCATACGAAACACGTTGAAAACTTCATAAACATTTTATGGAAACTTGTCATAAATTCTAAATGGGATAAGTGTAGTAGAAGTCCTAAAACTTTCAAAAAGTGCAATCAAGTCCTGAAACTTGTCACGAAAGTGCAATTAAGTCCTAAAACTTTTAAAAAGTGCAATTAAGTTCTAAAACTTGTCAAATTGATGCAATTAAGTCATTCAGTTATCACCATCAATTTATTTAATGAAAAATGCTGACGTAGTATTTTTAAATTACTTTCTCTCTCCTACGTGGCATTTTTTATATTTTTTTTCTTCAAATTTGATTTTCATTGGATTAAAAAATTTAATTAAAAAGCTAAAATTTTATTTTAAAAAACAAAAGTGAAAAGAAAGAAGAAAATGGCAAGGCAGGGCTGGGCCTCACCGGTGGGCGCTGCCGCCGCCGCCCATCGTTGGAGGAGGACCGGCCAGCCTTGCCTAGGGCCGGCGACCATTGCTAGGTCCGGGCGAGGGCGCCCAAATCTGGGCAACGCTAGCCCTCCCCTAGGGCCGGCGACCATCGCTCGCCCTAGGCGAGGCGTCGCCAGCCTCACCAAGGGCAAGTGAGGCTCGCCGGCCCCAAATGAAGGCCGTCGTCGCCTAGATCTAGGCGCCCTCGATCCAGTTCTGGGCAAGCCTCGCCGGGCCTAGCGAGGGTTGCCAGCCCTCGCCCGAGGCTGGCGACGCCTTGCCCGAGGCCAACGACGCCTCGCCCTCACCCGGGCCTAGCGAGGGTTGCCGGCGCCCTTCGCCGGCTCCTCCGGCGATGGGTGGCGGTGGCGGCAACGTCCACCGGCGAGGCCCTACCCTGCCATGCCATTTTTTTTTTCAGTTTTGTTTGTTAAATAAAATTAGCTTTTTTATTAAATTTTTTAATCCAATGAAAATCATATTTGAAGAAAAAAATAAAAAATTCCATGTAGGAGAGAGAAAATAATTTAAAAATGCTACGTCAGCATTTTTCATTAAATAAATTGATGGTGTTAACTGAAAGACTTAATTGCATCAATTTGATAAATTTTAGGACTTAATTGCACTTTTTAAAAGTTTTAGGACTCGATTGTACTTTTGTGATAAATTTTAGGATTTGATTGCACTTTTTGAAAGTTTTAGGACTCAATTGCACTTTCGTGACAAGTTTTAGGACTTCTAGTGCATTTATCCCATTCTAAATAATTGTTAGAGGTTATCCTTGTTCGGGCCTAGGCCGTTCAGGCCCCTCAATTCGGGCCAAAATGATGGCCTAAGACCACCCATGAGCAAAAAACATATATAATGAAGTGGCAAGCGGGCAGGCTTTACTTGGGCCCAATTGGGCCCAGTCAAGCCCATAACTATTGGTTCTCCTTTGGCTCTTGTTTTTCTGGCTGGCGTTGGCGGATACATAGCGGGCGGCCAGGCACATGATTAGGTCTACTGATAGTGTACCGGACTCCGACTAAATCAACCATCAGATCCAATTCCAAAAGATACGAGCCATTAAATAAAAAACCTACTAATAATTAGTCATTTTTATATTTTAAGATGTTTCACAAAAATTATTGACATATGGCGTCGATGAAGTCCAAAATGTCCTAAACAGTTACATATTCCGATCTTTAAATAATTCACGACATTTTACAAAAGCTTATGATGTTTAGTCTGACACACCTCATAACATCAGAAATATTTTGATGTTTTCAATTTAGCACGATTTGCAAAGGCTCACGGAAATTCATCGTAACATGGTAGGGGAAGTTTTGAGTATTTAAAATCTTAATGTTGCTATATTTTAGCATGTTTTTATAAGGGCTTACAACATTTTGTCGTAAAATTATTCAAAGTGTCGTAAATATATAAATATCCTATTTTTCATGAAGGCTTAGAACTTTTCGTAGTATTAGACGTCGTGGATATTTTCATACCCTAATTTCCTATATTCTTCGTTTTCTGTAGGCTTACAATATCTCATACTAAAACGCAGCCCAAAAAATGTCATAAATCTTTAAATGCCCCTTTGTCAATTTTCAGAAAAAACTTGAGGCTTCAATCACGTTATCTCCTTTCGTCTTTTGACTTTTGGCCTTTAATGATTTGGAATCTATCTTTTTTCATATCAAATACATTGAAGACTTCGTTAGCATTTTACACTAGAATCTGCAAGTGCAACCAATTACAATCTTGTCACGAGTTCCAAAATTTTTTTATTACTTTTTCAAGCAAGAATTTTGTTAATTCCCCCCATATATAACCTTACTATGGGGTTTAGGATGCATCCACATGATTCAAGAAAGTGCTACTTGACTTTATTTTCATGTGAAGATACACCATACGGAACGATATGTCCCAAATATTATCTCCTTTTTTAGTTGCATAACGAGAAAGACCACCTTTTAGATCAATTACGGATCAATCAAATATCCTTGATAGCCGCATGCGAGGTAAAATTTGAGTTAAAACTCAAGTCGATGAACTAGATAAAGGGATTTTCTGTTTTCCGAACCCTCATTATTTATAAACTGTTTTTTACCTAAATGAGCATTTGGTGCCATGTAAGCGTCTACAAGGCTTTTCTTGATTTTTCAATTTTTAGTATCTCACTGAATTAAAAGAAAATCTTGAAACTTGTCCTTATGGATAGAGCAAAAGAAAATATTTCCCAGCAAAGGTTGAGTATTGTGTATGATAAAACAAAGTTTCCTAATTAACATAATTATTAATTATTAAATTATTATAGTTTAAGTTTCTAAAATGAATGGATATTTAAAAGAGGCAAATGTCTTTAAGACTATTGTCAATTATTATTATTATTGTTGCTAATAACATAACAAACCAATAATTATGTTAGAATAATAGCATGATATGTAGTTATGAATAATGAATGATTAATTTCTATAATCATGTCATATAAGCGTTGTTGTTAAATAGCATATTAAACGTCTAATGTTGTATTTCATAAAAAGTAAATTATTATTTAAATAATGATATGGTCATATTATATGCATATAGATGTAATATCTAATTTAATAATACCATTAAATTAGCTTGTAGGACAACTTAAATCATGGAAGTAGATAAAAATTGCATGGTTTTGTTTTTTGTTTTGGTTGAAAAATTGCATGCTTTTGAGTTGTGATTTTCTTATAGATATCAATATCAATGAGATTTAAAGATGATAATCTAAAATATGATAAGATATAGCTTTTGATCAATCTGAATTTCATATGAATTCAAATGAACCATTATAATCTATTATATGTACGTGTATATCATAAATCAACTACTATTTGTTAAAGATATTTTGACGACTTAAAAACAGGAACCTACTTCCTTTTATGGAAGTATATATAATGCATTACAAATATATAAACAAATAAATATTATAATTATGTCGTCTAAATGTAGCTATGATATCTTATCTTATACTAGCATAGTAAGAACAATTCATGCCACACAAAACATCTTGTGTATCATATTATGAAGGATATTGTATATTAATCATGTATTGTACTGTGACACAAAAAAATTAAACAACTCTCGATTATTATCGACAAGTGACAGGATTTGTGAGTCAAAACAAAAGCAATCAATGAAAAAAACAATCGACAACTCGAAGGGATTCGATAACTTGATGAAGTCATTGACGACGGACATTATAGAAGGTATCGGTGAGGACTTAATTCATTAATCAACTAGGTTTATCGACAGTCATTTATTGCAAATTTTTGCAAATTTTGCTAAGTGTTGGAGCTCAGAGACAAAGAAGTAGATCGACACAAATGCAAGCCTACGTGGTTATTATGCCTATGACCCTGGGATTTATAACTCCTTGTGGATGAACGTAGCTAGCTAGAATCTAAGAATGTGCAACTTTTATCAATAACTATAGATAGCACTCGGAAGTAAGGACAAAATTCATGACCATTTGTGATAACTATTGTAAATGGGATATAAAAGTCCACAACGTTGTCTTTGTATACTCTCTTGCATAACAAATAAAGGCTCGCGCTATTTTCACCCTTTTATTGACTCCTGACACTCTTTATTACATTGATTTGACTACATTATTCCTTGAGGATTCCACTCTTAATTTAAGATTATTTCTTACCTTTTTTTTTTCTTATGTTTCAATTTTTTTAAAAGACAAAACTACTAACATCCCTTTTGAACAACTTTTTTTTTTTTTTTTTTCACTCTAGTTGCTTCTTCCACAACTACTACATTTTAATGTCCTTCATGTTTGTCCGCTTTTAAACTTATTCTGCCAATTATTAATTTTATTTCCCCAAATAATCCTCATAATGGTTAATTTTTCAACTTCTATTTTCAGTACAAATTTACAAGAATTTACTCAAATATTGAATATTGTGGTTCAGGAATGAATTACATAATTTACTCTTCTTTCATTGTATTATTTTCGTAGGGGAGTCACTATGAATGACAATATCGAAGATGAACCAAACGGCTTAAATGAATCTTTTGATGATAAAATTGCAAACGGAGAGCATCAATCAATCATGTCAACAAGTTCATTTGGAGCTTCTTGCACTATCACATTAAAATTATTCCTCGATATATATTGTTTTAACTGAATAATGACTTTCTTATTAATGTAATTAATTTTT